TTTTCAAAATACTCTCACTTATTATTAGAAATTGACATGATAGATTAGTTTCATTATCATTTTAAAGCTCATAAAGAAATTCGTTATGATACTTTAACTGAAGCCGTGAAAAATCTATAGAGTTCGAATTTTTTACTTGCAATTATCATGAAAACTACTAAACAATAAAAACAAACATGTCTACCAACATACTGTCGTGTAATTCTGTTTTTTCGAGAAGCCAAAATATGAAAGTGGGAAAAAAAGGTAAGCTTTTGATGATTCATGTTTGTATTTAATTCTTTTGTTTACTATATTATCTTCATATAAGAACGTTGATGTGAATATTTCCCTATTTTACACTACTTTTTATTAGTTTTAAGATGATTGACATAGTTAATTATTTTGTCTTCGATAATCTTACAATGGAAGATAAATATTGTGCAATTTTCAAGTTTTTAATTCAATTTTGAGGTGATGAAAATAGAAAAAATAACTTGAACAAAGGCGAAGAACTGTCGGCATGTTTTTGCACCTACTTCAGTCTTTCGAGAACAGCAATGCATATATGTGGTCGAGATATCCTCTTGAAACAGAGCGACAGAGAATGAAAATAGCTACCAACACATTAGAGTATGGATTGATGTAGCGATATGTTTTACATAATTATTTGAAGAAAAATAAAAGTTTTATTATGTATGGCAATGTTTTTTACAAAAAATATAGTTATATTTAAATATCATTTATAATTTAGGAATTAAATGAACTTATAGTATAAAGTATAAAGCATATTTACGAATGCTCTTTGATAACAATCAAAGTAGTTAAATGTAAGTTATTATTGTTTTTATTCAAATCTATTCTATTGCTAATAAATAAATCATAAAATTCCTACATCGTTTGGTTTTATCTAGACAAAATTTTATTACTGCAAGTAACTATCATAAATTTGAAGAGTTTTTGTAATAAATAAAATACAATTTATTCGATACATAAGAAAAGTATGAAATGATTGCTTATAAAGAAATATTTCTTCGTAACATTCAACAATTATCAATAGAAGAAAAAGAAAAATGAATAGGCGATTAATCTTATTCAATCATAGAGAAAAGTTAAAATCTGTGCTTATTGACATCTATGTGAAGTTTTAACCAAAACAAGTGAGTTAAATATATCACCATAGAAGAAAGAAAAAGTAATAAAAAATCAGTATATATATATATACTGTCTGAAGACAGGATTAGTAGTTTATTTGAATAAAATGGGATCAAAAACTAGTAAATATACTGTTGAGAAGGAAGATTCTGATTCAAATAAAAATAAAACTTTATCATCACTTCCATCAAATTCCAATGAATTAATGATAGATGAAAGACCAAAAAAAGAAGTAACATCATTACCAAAATTAATTCACGTAGCTTCTTTATCCAATCCATCATCATCATCATCGACAAAGAATAATTTAACCGTTGTTTGGCTTGATACAGAAATAAATAATCAACCAGAACACACTGATACTCAGACAAAATTAAAAAATCTTATTTGTTATATTCGAATATTTGATGATATTGATGCATGTACACAATATATTGAACAAACAGGCTATATGAATACTAGTAATTTAATGAATGAAGAAAAATTACTAATGATTATTTCATCAACACTTGCATTCACAATTATTCCACAATTTCATGATCTACCTCAAATAAAATATTTTTATATATATGGAACATCGAAAATCAATGCTAAAACTAGTCAAGAGATGTTAAAAAAATATCCGAAGGTAAATTTACACAGACAACTTTTGAAGTTTTATTGTTCTCGTTTAGATAAAAGGAGTATATTCAACATCTCGATCATTGCTTGCTCAAATAGCTCAAGATTAATATTAATCAGACAAAAAAAAAGAAAGAAAGAAATTGCAAATGTTTTTTTTTCTGTTTATTTTGGTTTTCTTCGTTCAATAAATTGTTGTCGTTCAAGCATTTGTTCCCAACGACGATGATCAAGTTTACTGAAATCATCATGTTGTGCTATCATCATTAAATATTGTGTTAAACTAAATAATTCCCTATCAGTTGCACGTGTAAAATGTGCTCGTTTAAATGGACGAATTTTTAAACCATTTAATGGATTTAATAAGAAATTTCTTGAAACATCATCAAACATAATTGTATTCTTATCCGAATAAAGTGTAGGATATTTTTCCCATATAACAGGTAATGGTTTAACGTCTTGAAGGCCAAATTCTTTTGTATAAACAGATATCATAGCACCAGAATCCCTTAAAAAATCAAATTTAAATATTTCTTATCGATGAAAATTTTATGTTTAACATACATATAAAATACAATTTTATAATTAAATGTTGTATTCGTTGTTCGACCTTGTGAAATACCTTCAATTCCAAGTAATTTCATTTTCGATTCAATCCATTTCATAGATGTAGCTGACCATATTCCAATATCATAATGTTCATAAACTGTTGTTAAGAATTCATGTAAATATGGTCTCATTAATTCAGCACCTGTTTCAGCTGCACTACGATGATCAAATAATGTATAATCAATATCTAATACAAGTAATTTTTTTCCTGGTCGTGGTTCATTAAAAATTTTTCCTTGATAAGTATTTATTCGACGTTCTAATTTTATTCGTACTTCTTCACGTTTTTCCAATGGAATTGTATCAGGATCTTCAATCCATGTTGTATCTTGTTGTTCTTCTTCTTGTCCTTCGGATAAATCTGGTTGAACAGGTTTCGAAGCATTTAATTCTGCTATTGATTCTTCAGGTGTACCCATTAGCATAATTTTTGATGCAAGATTTATTTCATCTATTGTTGTTGTATTTGTAATAGTACCTGGTGTTTTTAATTTTAGACCCATTAATTTTTGTCTATCAGGTAATATATGTGTTTGTTCATAGATTAAACTTTTTAATTCACTTAATGTTTGAGTTGATTGAAGATTAAATACTAATTCTTGTTTATTCCATTTTAAAACTATATTATGATTTTCCATCTTGAAAAATTAAGGAAAATATTTATTTTATTTTATTTTATTTTATTCAATTTATTATATTATGATAATACATATATTTAAAAAAAACTACGATTTTTTATTTATTTGTATTATGACTGGAGTAAAAATAGAAATAAGAAAAGAGATTTTGTGTGAAAAAAATTTGTTATTTAGTTTGTTTTTGTATGTCCAGATTCAATCAATTCTTCATAAGCTTCATGCCACATGCGACCAGATTTTTCAAGTGATCTAAAACAAAGAATTAAATATTTGTTAAGAAAAGAAATTTAAAAATTTTTTACGTTAATATATCAAGAAAAGCACGTCCCATAGGTTTAGAAATATATGGAATGTTATATTTCTGGCATATCTCCATTACTTCTGATTGAATTTTATAAAGATTATGACGCGGCATCATTGGAAAAAGACTGAAGAAAAAAATAAAAATAAATATTTTTAAAGGCATTTTATAAATATTTTTACTGATGTTCAATTTGAAAATTTAAATGCCCTGTAAACCAATCATTAAATGCTGATTGAGCAATATTACATGTTGCTTTTAACTGCATACGAAACCATGGTAATTTAGAATTATCATGTGATACATCCATAACAACATGATTCGATTGTGAAACAAGAACTAGAATTAAATTTGTAAAACTAAAAGCTTTTATTTTGAAATAATAAAACTTACCAAACCACGTGCCTTCGAATGTACTAAGAAGAAAAAAAATAATTATAAAGAACGAAAAAATCGTTTAAATTACCGAATTAAAAAAAGAAGTTTTATCGCTCCAATAAAGCCAAGTTTTAATGGTATTAATGTAAAGAATTTGATATAATATATAGATAACCAAGCAAGATCCTAAAAAAACAACAAATTATTTCTTTGTTTATAGTTTTAATATATTTTACCATCCATTTTCGTCGTTTTATAGCATGTCGTATTGTCATAAATTGAAAATATAACGGGAATAGCATTGGTGCCACTGAAAATTTATATTGTTTTTAAAAAATATAGATTTAATTAATATTTACCAATAAAAAAATATAAATGTTGAAAATTATAGGGTACTTTCTTTCCATGTTTCGCATTTCTTTCAGCTTTCTATTGAAGAAGAATATCGCGATTGTATTCATTATTACGTACAGAAAGAAAGAAAAAATTTACTCGTATTGGAATTGTATCACCCAATAAAAATAAGGGCTCGATACGTGTATCGGGATCTTTGTCAATAACATTTGGTTTTGAATGATGTTGAAAATGCATATTATTCCACCAATCCGCACTTCCTCCCTATAAAAAAAAATCTTCTTATTTAAGAGTAAAATAAAAAAGTTTTTATTACAAACTTTAATTAAACCCATGGAAAATTGATGTAATACATGATTCCATGACGCCTTTTTAAATACTGATAAATGTCCAAAATCATGTTGAAGCCAACCACATTGTGCCTAAATAAATTAAATGAAATTTTTCAAAATAAGAAAATTTTTTTACTAACTTCAGCAATAACATAACAAAGTAATGTTAATAAGTACGGTATCCAATTTGTTCCGAAACGAAATAAAATAAAATAAGCAGCAAATTCGAAAGCCAAAATATGTAGAAAACTTAAAATAAAAAATGTTCGGCTTGGTTCAAATAGTTTCTAAAATATAATCTATATCGAATATGTACGTATCGAAAAAACAAAATTTACTTTAGCAAAAGCTTTTTGTCTTAATTGTTCAAAATCATCTTTTAATGCTTGATCAGTTTTTGCAGATAGATTATCTTCATCATCGATTACATCACCAATATAAAATGATTTAAGATATTTTTGTACTAAAGCAATGTCTGGATGAAGCGCATGAAAAGCCTCCTACACAAATTAAAAATTCAAGGTTTTTTTGTTATTCTGTATGAATGTACTTTTTCATTTTTCTTACGCTCGCATCTTGTCCTGCGTAATAATTCAAAAGTGTTTGCCCACCTGGATGTTTCGTCCAACGAGTAACATCAAAAACACATTTATCAAGAACAATCCATCGATCGTTTTTATTTGAATGACGACGTATTTCCTCCCATGTATACTGTTTTTTAGTATTATTTACAGGAATAGAATTTGATATTGTTGCCATAGATAGAGTTTTTTGTTGATCATCGACTAATGAAGATGATTCCTGATTTTTTCCACCTTTACCCATAAAATCTAATGATCTATTAGACATAATATTCAACATTCTATTTTCTTTACGAACTAAAAGACAGCTGACAAGATAGTTTACGAATGACTACTTTCTATCGTAAGATGTACGATCTATTTTTTTCTTTTTTCTTTCTCCGAGATTTTTTTTCTCGTCGTTTCCTGCTAGTAAAATGAGTATAAAAAACGAGACGTAAAGGAAAAAAAAAGAGGGAATAGAATTATTTCGTCGCGAACATCTTACCTTTTCAATTATTATTATTCAACGAGTGTAGCTGCTAGAAAGTTTTTTATTATTAGTTCAAACAAGATGAAAGAAAGTGAAAGAGTGAGAAGAAGAAAAAAAAAACTTGAGAATGAAGAAATTAGAAACTTACATTCTTGTTTTTTCTAGAATTTTACGTCTTTTCTTTTTTTTCCTGTTTATGTAGTTGAATAAACAAAAAAAAACAGAGAGAGAGAGAAAGAGGATTAACCCGAAAATGAATGCTTTTAATAATAATAGCACAGCATATGAAATAAATCGATAGTTGAAAGAAAATGAAAGTAACTAACATATCATCAGTTCGTATAAATCTTTTCTCGTTCTTTCTAGAAAGAATCGACGGAAAAAGACGCCTAAGTAGATTATAGTTTGTTGTAAGTAAAGAAAAAATAGAAAGTATGTTTTAATGTAAAATATGAGTAATAAAAGTTTCGATTAAAGGCCTCATAGAATTGCATGTTAGAAAAAAATACAGTATTTACATCAATTTTGTGCATATATGTTGCCTATTGATATTAAATCAGGTGAGTTTCAATATTTAATCATCAAATATCATTTTCGTTTTATGTTGATAATTATAAATGTCTATATTAAATGAAAAAAATGTACAATAAATACAAAATAAGAAAACAAAACAAAGCCAAATGACCATTTGTCTGTTCTACGAATATAATAAGAGATGTATTATATCAAAAATAAAACTTTTATAATTTATTGTATTATTAAAATAAAACAAAAATTTGACATTAAATTGTTGAAGTTAAATTTGTTAAACGTTGACTCAGTTGCCAAAGACGTTGGCATTGTTCTCGATCGTTTGTAATTGGATTTGTTTTACCAATTGCAGGTCGACAATAAGGCGGTGGAAGAGTTTTACTCGGAACAAAATAAGTACCACGTATATTGTTATTTTCAATATCAGGATGAGTAGCAACATAAAGTGTTGTCATAGCGCCATTATCAACTGTTCGCATAAATGGTCTCATCAAACGTCCAGACCATTTAAGATTATTCCAAATTGCTGACTTAACAACACCCTTCAAATAGAAATTTTATATTTATTATGTAACTGAAGAGAATGTTATAATTGATAACTTACAGGATGTAAAGTATTACAATAGACTTTTGATTCAGGACCAAGTCGATGTGCAAGTTCTGTACACATCATAACATTAGCTAATTTTGATTGACTATAACCTCGTAGACCTGCTCGAAATTTTGCTACATTTGATGTTGGATGTGGTTGTCTACGTATTTGATCATCAAATTCAATATTTGGTGCGTTTAAATGTGCTCCACTAGATACAATAACAATCCTTGATGGTATACATGCTCGAAGATCATTTAATAATAAATTCGTTAAAAGAAAATGACCTAAATGATTTGTTGTAAACTGTAATTCTTCTCCACATTCTGATGATTCAAATTCTGATCCAAATATTCCAGCATTATTTATTAAGAGATGTAATGGTAATTGTCGTTCATGAAATTCATCAACAAATTTTCGTACACTCATTAATGAAGAAAGATTAAGTTGAATAAAATCAAGTGGTGCATCAGGCATATTAATTTCACGTCGAATATCATCAATAGCCTTCTGTGCTTTTTCTGCATTTCGACAAGCAACAATAACATACCAACCTTTTCGTACTAATTCACGAGTTGTTACTTTTCCAATTCCTTCATTAGCACCTGTAACAATAGCTACACGAGATCGTGGTTCAATTTGAGGAATTTCATCAAAACTATATTGCGGCATCTAGAAAAAAAAATAGAAATTATTTAAATATCTACTTTTCTCATACGTCGTTTATCATCTATAGTGAATTTATATTTAAAATATGTATCACTTTCATTCATCATTTTTAGCAAATCCTCTACATAATTAATCATATTCACGCAATGATATGTTCGATTATGTGGTAACGATAAATTATCTATTTCACATATCATTTCATCTTGTGATGGTAATGACATTTTACCACATAACACACGTGCAATTAAATGTGACTGAAATTCAGCAAGTGGAAATGGTACAATACGATAGGGAACAGTAAGAAAAGAAAGTGTACCATTAGGAAAATTAGCATGAAATATTTGTTTATATAATGGATAAAGATAACGATTTTGAAATAAACGAGTTTGATCAACTTGTAATTTACCTTGAAGAAAAGGCATTCGATATTCATAACCAGTAGCAAATATAATTAAATCAGGTTTAATTGAAGTTTGATTTTTAAAGAAGACTGTGTCATCATCAATACGTTCAATAGGTGATACAATAGAAAAGTTTGTTGATAAATAATTAGTACATAAAGTTTTTCCACTTTGTCGAAGGCAATCAATGGTAAAATTTAAATCGTTGTTTTCTTCTTTCATACTTAATATGACTTGCTTAGCTACGGATACTAATTCACCACAAATATCAACACCAGATTGACTAGCACCGACAACAATAACACATTGATCTCGATAATGCTCTGGGTCACGATAACTACGAGAATGAATAATTGAAAAACTTTGATTATTTAAACCAGGAATATCATTTGGCATATATGTATCAGAATAATGGCCATTGGCTACACATATGGCATCAAATTGTTCTGAATAAACTGCATAATTTTCATTTTCTTCCAATAAAATTTGATGAGGACGATGTATTAGTTCATTTTTTGAATTAAATCGTACAGTATATGTTACTGTAAATGTTTCGCCAATTGAATTAACTTTTGTATTCAAATGTATATATTTAAAAAGTTGAAATTTTTCAGCATAAGCAATTAAATATTCTTCTACTTCTTTACAACCAATATAAGATTCTGGTTCAATATTAGTAAATGGAAAATCACTAAATTGCATAACAGAACATGGAATATTTGTTTTTAAATTTTTATAAACAGCTGTTGTTGGTGATAATCCATCTGAATCATAATGCCATTGACCACCAATAAATGAATTTTGTTCAAAAATAGTCGGCTCGCAATTATACTCACCAGACGAAAGAACACGAGCACATCCTAAACCTGACGCACCACCACCTATGATGCAAACTCGAATACGTTTCATTTTCTTTCCTTCAAACAAACAATGTGCTCTAGAAAAGTAAATTTATATTGTCGTCATGTGTAAGATAAACAAAATGTATCATAACATTCTCTATTTTAAACTTAAATCTACAAACAAATATTCAATCTAACATACATTACATTAAAATAAGTCACATAGCATTCGAATTTTCTTATCAAAATATAAGATAACAATGTGATACTAATAGATAAAGTATTCGCTTTCAATGACATCTAAAATACTTTTTGATACGAACTTTAATTATAAATTGATAACAAGATTGAGTCAATATAGCACATATTTCTCTTTCATACAAGATCATTAATTATTCGCATTGTTTATTCATTCGCTAAAATATCTAACGAATGAAATATTCGATTGTATCCTCTTTATTAAACACATATTTGTTCTTTATTTATTTTTAAAAAAATATAGAATTTTTTCAAATAAATCACAAATATTTGTTTTATTTTAATTTTAATTCGAATAAAATTTTTTTTATTTCAATTGATTGTAGTGACAAATTATAAAGAGGTTGAAAACATCAATAAAAGAAAAAAAGAAAGATGGTTGCTCTCGTCAATCTGTTGATCATCTGTTCTTTTCTAGGCTATGACATTGAAATATTGATCATTCGAATCTAGTTATGCCGATTAATAATCACGGCATTCGAATATTTCATTTAATTATTTCTATTATTTTATTTAATTATGGTATTACAAAAAATCCAATATCTGATTTAATATTATCAACCAATTTTTGTACAAATATATCCATTAATAATCTATCATTTGGTGTGATACATAGCTTAAATTTTTATTCAGGTCAATCTCAACCACCGAATATATCGTGTTCATGGATAATAGAAAATTTTCAAACATCACTTGGATCAAATTATATTCTTTCATTACGTGTTATTGATGTAGAAAATGATCCAACACATTGGTCAAATGAATTAACATTTTGGACAGGGAATAAACAAATATCTGTTGATGATATTAATAAAAAAACATATTTATTATCATCAACATCATCAATAAAAATCTATTTTCGTACAAAACCACCTTTATTACAAACATTCAATCCATATATACGTACAAATTTACGAATACGTCGATTTTTAATTGAATTTCTTCATGTTAATAATGATTTAATAACAAATACAAATGAAAATTATTTTCTTTGTCTATCAAGTGGAATATTAATACCAAAACAATGGAAATGTAATTGTATATATGAATGTTCATATGATGATCATAGTGATGAAGATAATTGTCCATTATGTTCAATGTATAATCCATTAAATAGTTTATTATGTCAATCAAATGAAATATGGTGTTTACCACATACATCAAAATCTTTTACTGATAATTTAATTGATACTGAATATGATGATGATAATAACAACGATTGGATGCAATCTCATATAAGTTATAGTCGAAAAATTGATTCAAAAGGTAATTGAATGCATCTATAAATTGTTCACTTTAGTATAGTTCCGGACGTGTATGTCTATCTTTAAGTAAATCGTTTCCATAGAGATAATCCCGAGAGATGTTTAATTAAGCCAGATTAGACAATACATTAGAATAATAACATCATAAACTTACTAAATGCGATGCATCACTATTTATATGTATATTCTTTTTGATCGGAATCAAAAATTTTATAATCAATAGAGAAAACGAGATTAATATTAGACTTTAATTATTCTCTATCATTAAATCTAAGCAAACTTTAATTTCCGAAAGTTTCCTGTTTCAATATATTAATTCTCATCTTATATAAAATAAATATTATTCACTAGTTCAACTAGTACATCTGATTTGTCACGAACACATGTTCTTATTTTATTTTTATGATAAACTATTTGAATAAATATTGACTGTAATTTAAGGTGTTTGTATTCCACGTAATGAATATCAACAATGTTCATATTCAACAAATTCATCAACTTGTGAAAAAATTCTTGCATGGCGTCAAGATCATGGTCAAATTATACTTGATGATTTTCTTCTTAAAATCAATCAATCAATATGTTTTATTATAATTGCAAAAGAAGACTATAAAATCAAATTTATGTTAAATCAGTATTATTTTTTTAAGCAACATGAAGATTTTGAAATGATTGTTTATGATGGAACTGAAGAAGAAAATAAAATTCTTACATCATCGAGTTGGTTATTAAAAAAAGATATTGTTCAAACACGTGATAATCATGTAGCAACAATTATTATTCGAAAACGTTCTTTACAACCCATATCATTAATAAATGATGATGTTTTCAATTATTTACAAATAAATGATACGAATAAACAAATTCAACAACGTGGTATTAATTTCATTTCATTGAATATAACATGGGTAACAAGTATTTGTCCAGACAATCAAATGCTCTGTGGTGGACATTTTGAAACAAAATGTTATACTAAAGAACAAAGATGTGATGGTAAATGATAAAGGTTTTTTTTGTTTCTCTTTCAATAAATTTATTTTAATAGGTATTTGGGATTGTATTAGTGGAGATGATGAACTTGGTTGTTCACCGGAATCATGTCCAACAACATTTGCATGTAATGATCGTTTACGTTTACCATCCGATCCACCAAGATGTTTTACATGGTCAGAACGTTGTAATGGAAATGCATTTTGTACAAATCGTACAGATGAAAAATTTTGTACAAATTGGTGGTGTAATTCAAATAATGGAACATTTCTATGTAAAAATTTTAATTGTATTTATGAAACATGGGTTTGTGATGGTAAGAAGAAAAAGAAAATTAAACAAAAAAATTTTATCTGAAAATTTTCGTTTATTTTTTGTAGGTACTGATGATTGTGGTGATCATTCAGATGAAATGAATTGTCCATCGCGTGTACCACGTCGTATAGTAACAGCTGCAGTTATTGGTGCAACTGTTTGTTCAACTTTATTTATAATTGCATTAGGTTGTACATGTAAATTATTTCATTTACGTTCAGCAGAACGACGAGCAACATCTCGTTTATTAAATCCTCAACGTTATATTGAAAGACGTCGTCAACAAATTCAACGTGAACAACAACGTCGTTTAAATCGACAGAATCGTCATCGAGCATCAACAACAACAGCAGCAGCAGCAGAAGCATCAATAACACCAGATAATTCATCAGTGATATCGAATGAAACAAGGCGAATAGCACCACCATCATATAATCAAACTATGGGTCTTATGGATGAAAATGAAGAAAGACAAGCAGCTCTTGCTGAACATTTAAGACTTGCTGGTTTATCTAATTATATTACATTACCACCTATACATAATAGTTCAAGAACATCAAGATCAACATCAAGACATCGACATAGAAGACACCGAAGGCATCGTCATCATCATCATCATCGACGAGCACATAGTGAAGGTAAAATTAAAATAAAATAGCTTTTTTTTAATATTTAATTGTCTATTTTTAAAGGTTCACGTGTGGCGTTACTAGAACCAAATGTTGTTGTTCCAAATAATGCTTTTCCTGCACCAACCACAGCATTTTCTTTTAATCGTTTACGTTCTCATCTTCGTTCTTTATTTACAACAGATCGTACTACAGCGACTACTAATACTAATACTTCTACTAATAATAATAATAACAGTATTCAAACAAATCCTAATTCAAATCAATTTGACACGTATGAACGTCATAATTCATCTATATTATCGTCAGTTCAACCAATTCATCTTCCTACTCGACCATATTTAAATTCCGATTTTATACAATCAAGAGAACTTCCACCACCATATACTGAACAACAGATAATACCATCTAATCCATCAATAAATTCATTATCAACAGCAATAACAAATAGTCGTCGTAGTAGTAGTGGTGGAAGTGATATTGAATCAATAAATCGAACAACTCCAACATCATCATCATCATTATATCGTTTACAAAAACGACAAATACCTATAAATACATTACGTGATCGTATGAGACAATTTATATCAGGTTCAGCAGTTCGAGTAACAACAGATGAATTAAATCATCCAGTACAAACAACTACAACGACATTAGATATAGATTTAGAAGAACAACCACCTGTTGCATCTATGGAAGATGATGAACAACATAGTAGTGATGATGACAAAATATTAACGCCTTAATACATATATATATCTATTAGTTTTCTTTTTTTGTACGAAAACGATTTTTTTCTTTTTTTTTTTTGTATATTATGTCCTTTTTTGTTTTGTTTATTCATTTATTTCAATTAACCCGATCTGATGTTGTCATACAGGGGAAATGTTTATTATTCCAACTCTCTTTTTTCTTCTTTGTGTGTAAACCACAGTGATGTTTTCTCTTATACATATAATCTTTTTGTTCTTCTTTCTTTTCTTTTGTTGAATACCAACAATTTTAGAGATACAGTGCTTCTTGTATTTTTCTACATGAATTTTCTGTCTATTCGCCATTATCGTTAAAAGAAAGACACAATTTTTATTAGGTATAAATATAAATATATATATACAGATAAACAAAATATATAGAAGAACAAACTAAAATATTCTATGATTAGATTCTCTCTAGGGTGCTCATTTGTATTCATAAATGATACATACTGTCTCTTTTTTTCTCATCGTAACTAATGCTGCTACGGCCAATTTCCAACAATGAACAGAGGAGAGAAAAAAAGAAAAAGCAAATTAATTCAATCTATGTTGAAACAAGAAATAGAATATTCCGTTTTTTTTTTTCTTTGTATCTATTCTTTTGACAATGACAAGAAAATTAGAAGCACAAATCAACTAGTTCAGTCTAACTGAGATTCCGGCTGGTTAAACTGTATGTGCATAATATTAGCAATAGGAGGCGGAAAGAGTAAAACAAAATGGTGTTGTCACATTATCATTCTTAACATCGAACGGAATAAAAACAAAACGAGAGGGATGCAGAGAGAGAGAGAGAGAAAAACTCCAAGAGAACAAAGAGATCAAACAAAAAGAAGAATATAAAGAAAAGGAGATAAAATTCGATTGTGATCAGTAACTAACTGAATGACAAGAGAATGAGCGCATCTTTCTTTATGTGTGCAATATGCAGTTTTTTCTTCTTCTTCTTTAGTAAATTATAAGAAAAACTGACATGCAATAGATTCATTGAGTAAGCAATTCAACTTTGTTTCTCATCTAGACATAACATATTTATATATATATATATATTAAATGAACAATTTTTTTTCGTAAAACTAAGTGTATTCTCAAGCACTAGTAATTGAATGTAATGTTTTATTATTGCTTGAGAGTATTCCTTAATATTATACGATGTCTCATCTATAAATTTCTTTTATTTTTCCTAATAAGATAATTGTTCGTCGTACTCAACCAAACAATATAAAAAGTTTGTCATTGATAACAAGATTGCAATATCAAAAATCTGTCTTGGATAAGTAACGACATCTTTTATTATGTCTATATTTCTGGGTTGGTTATATTTTATATATGATTGTAATTGTTTCGCCTTGATGTGGTTGTGAGGAAAGGGGAAAATAGAAAACAGAACAATTTAACTCTATCATTTGTGTATAATAAAGGGTGAAAAACAAACTAACAGTTTTTTTATAACATTCTACACGAATCAATTCATTCCAATTAATATGGATGTATTTTTAATTGTTCTGGGTTTATTGATAGCTGCATGTTTTATACTGCATCTATATACTCGGCAAGTTCAACAACAAGTAAAAGATCCAGCTTTTAGAAAATTTCAACAAGTTTATCTAATTGTGTATTTATTAGCTGTTGGTAAAATAAAAATAAGAAAAAAAATTGATTTTCTTCGAAATATTCATTTATTTTAGCCGGAGATTGGCTTCAAGGACCACATGTCTATGCTCTATATGAAAGTTATGGAATTCAAAAGCATGAAATTGAAATACTTTTTATTGCTGGATTTGGATCATCAATGATATTTGGTACAATTGTTGCATCATTAGCTGATAAATAGTAAATAATCTAACGAGTATAATTTTCAACCGAGATTCTTTCTTTAGTGGTCGACGAAACACATGTTTATTATATGGAATACTCTATGGAGTATCATGTATAACAAAGGTTAATAAACGAAAAGTTTTTATCTAGAAAATCTGAGTTTTGTTTTTGAGTTTATAGCATTTTCCTAATTTTCAAATATTATTCGTTGGACGATTACTTGCTGGCATGGCAACATCGATCTTATTTAGTGCATTTGAATCATGGTTAGTTAATGAACATCAACGAGTGTGTAGATTTGATTTTAAAATAAAAGAATTAATACGATTTCGATTTCTTTTTACTAGAGAAATTTTGAACCTGAAACATTAGGTACAATATTTGCAAATGCATATTTTGGAAATTCAGTCGTAGCAATATTATCAGGAATTACTGCGCAAATTGCTGCTACTAAATTTGGATATGTGTAAGTAATTATAAAGATAATCTTATCATGAATAGAGATATTATTGTTGCGTCAGCTGTAGAAACGATTACTTATGAAGCAGTGAATACAAAAGTTGTGTCAGATTTGACCTAAATATGTTTTTTTGTTCTAGTGCTCCATTTGATAGTGCAATATTAGTATTTATTGCTATGTGCTTTATATTGGCTACGACTTGGTCAGAAAATCATGGTGATGCTAATGCACCTATTAGTCAATCGTTTTTGTCGGCTTATAATTCAATTAAATCAGGTATAGAATTGAAAATATAATATTATGTATCGATTTGATTTTTTTGTATTTTTGAAGATCGTAAAATATTTCTGTTGGGTATTGTTCAAGCACTTTTCGAAGCATCAATGTATGTGTTTGTACTTGAATGGACTCCGGCATTAACTGAAGCATTAAGTGTACCATCTGTTGATAAAACAGATAATAAAAATCCACCAATTCCACATGGTTTGTTGAAAGAATAGAATTGTTTTTAATAAAGAAAATGAAATCATAAATGTATAGGATATGTTTTTGCAAGTTATATGGTTGCAATGATGATGGGATCGAATTCATTCAAAGTATTCTGTAATTATACAACACCGGAATCATTTATGAGGTTGATAGTTTAGATTTCTTGGTTGTTTGCTTATTTAATTTATTTATATTTAGATATATTGTTATTGTTGCGGCATTCTGCTTGAGTGTACCAGTTTTCCTACCAAAGGTAAGTTGAAATTATAGATTTCATTTGATTTAGAAATTTTTAACGAATTTTTTTTAATAGTCACAAGTAATAATGTTTAGTTCATTTTTAATTTTTGAATTCTGCATTGGTATCTTTTGGCCGTGAGTTTAATAGAATATAAATTAAATAGAAAATCTTGTTTGATTCTTTAAGTGCAATGGCTACAATGAGAAGTAAATATGTGCCGGAAGAAGGTTTGTTTAAATATTTAAATTCTTATACATTAATCAAACTTTGTTTTTCTCTTCTTCATTTATTTAGCTCGTGCTACAATTATGAATTACTTTCGTATTCCATTAAATTTAATCGTCGTTGTGATACTTCTTAGAGTAAAGATAATTATTTGTATTTTGATCTATTAAAAACTTTTTCTTTCTTTCAGGATTTCCATTTAAAAGTTATCTTCATGAGCTGTGTCTTTTTCTTAGTTCTTGCTGCTATTAGCATGTCTTTATTACATAAGTCAGTTTTATTATTAACAATATAATTATTTCCTTAACAGAATCTTTTTCTTCTTGATAGTTTAACATTACATCGCACCATATCAACGTCTTCAACTGCTGCACAACATGAAAAAATGTTACATTCAATGAATCCTTCTATTGATAATGATAACAATAGCAACGAACATATACGGGCAGCAGTCTAAATCATCTATTTAACAAGAATCTCAAATTATACATCGTGATAATATTCCTATTGTGATAAAAATAACATTAATACAAAAATAATTTAGTTTGCTTTTTATTTGTGGCGTCTTGTATGCAGTTATATAATTTGCTTTTATTGGGGCGAACAATTTTCCTTGTATTTCATAAATTTAAAAATAAAAATAAAAATAAAATATTAAGCCAAATGAGAATTGTTTCGTCTGCATTGCACTTATTCTTTTGAACAGATGATTATCTATGTATACTACATTTGTTTATTTGAAATCGAGGGGTTTATTGTATCAGATAATAGAAAAGTGATCGTATGTTTTTTCTTCTAGCTGAAGGAGACGACCATGTCCTACATAGAGAAAATAGTATGTATATATACATAACAGAGAGAAAAAGACGAAAAACTAAATATATAATTTCGTCATTTAATGTTCTTGTGAACAGAATGGTAAAAGTAAATAGATTTAGGTATGTGTCACAAATAGATAGTTTTTTTTCAGGCCGAAAAAAAAAGTTCGTTTATTTTTATTTTAAAATATAAATCGAAATGTTGTTTTTTTTTGAATTTCGTTAGGCTTTATCATCATTGGTCGTCATACAGTTTAAAACAACGTGTGACACTTGCAGTACAAATTTTTGCAATCTTAGGCTTTCTGTGTTTACCAGTGATAAGTATAGTTGCTCTTGTTCTTACTCTTGCTGTACTTAATATGTCACTTGGTATACGAAAACTTTATGTTAAAATTCTTACATTTTTATTTGATTATGCAACACAAATAAGCAAAGATAAAGAAATTCCTTTTGATTCAAATTTAAAAACAGCTGAATCACCAACACCACAAATAGAACCACAAATTATTGATAATGTACTTGATGATTGGGTTGAACTTAGTCCAAATACATTTATGATAAATGAATCGAAAACAGAACAAAGTATAACAAGTGAAGAAGAAAATCAAAGAATATCGAGAGCATCATCACAAACTGATATTCAATTTAAATTAAGTAAGAATATTGTTTACTAAATTATCAGACACACCCACCCACCCGCCCTAATTCTTCAACTATTTCTTTTTTTTTGTCTAGGTGATATCATAGATTATACTCGTCAGGGTCTTGAAGCAATTGTTGACGATGAAGTAACAAAACGTTTTACATCTGCTAATGAAATGGCAGTATGGAATTTATTAACACGTACACAACAACAACATGGATCATTTTCAATACGTGTTACAGTATTATGGTTTATTGGATTTCTCATACGTTATTTTATATTATTTCCAATTCGTATTTGTCTATTTTTTCTTGCAATCTTTTGGGTATTAGGTTCAATTATATTTCTAAGATATGTTCCAAAACAAGAAATGAAATTACGTTTTGGATTTTATATTAACATTGTTTTACATCGTATATTATCACGTGTTTTTTCTGCTATAATAACTTATCATAATACAGAACATCGTGCTAAATGTGGTTCAATATGTGTTGCTAATCATACATCACCTATTGATGTTATTATATTATCAACAGATAATGGATTTTCAATGATTGGACAAAAACATGGCGGATTTTTTGGTATAGTACAAAAAACTCTATCACAAACAGCAAATCATATATGGTTTGAACGGTCGGAAGCGAAAGATCGTCATATGGTTGCACAAAAAATGCGTGAACATATTAAAAATGAAACAAATTTACCCATATTAATTTTTCCTGAAGGTACATGTATAAATAATACATCAGTTATGATGTTTAAAAAAGGTTGTTTTGAAATAAGTGAAGCACCTATCTATCCAGTTGCAATTAAATATGATAATCGTTTTGGTGATGCTTTTTGGAATTCATCAAAACATGAATTAGTTCAATATTTAATATTAATGATGACATCATGGGCTATTGTTGTTGATGTTTATTATTTACCACCGATGAAAATTGAAAAAAATGAATTATCTATGGATTTTGCTCGACGAGTTAAAGCAGCTATTGCTAAACAAGGTGGTTTTGTTGATTTAGAATGGGATGGTGGATTAAAACGTTCATTACCTAAAGCAGATTTTCGAGAAGAAGAACAAAGAAAATTTTATGAAATGCTTAAAACAGATTGAAAAACGTTTCGATACAACAACAACAAAAAAAAACATTCAATCTTTCTGTTTTTCTGTTTTCGGTTTCGCATTTTTTTTTATATTTATGTAAACAGTTTATTTCTCGAAAATTTTAACATATGCCTAGTTATTTTTTACCGATTACTGGATATTTGTTTTTGTTATTATAGATTTCATCTGATTAATTAACATCATGCCACCTGGTCAACAACAGAAGCCACCTCGTTATTCATCAACTTGTATGATAAAAGAAAATAACTTTATTTTTATTTCATTTGAATATATTTCTCTTTTGTTTTTTAGATGAAGATGATAAATTTCAATATCGACACGTTATTTTGGATAAAGAGATGGCGCCTGTAATTCCAAAAAATCGTCTCATGGACGAAGTTGAGTGGCGTGCATTGGGAATTAAACAAGGACCTCATTGGGAACATTACCTTATTCATAAGCCTGGTAATACTTTCTACTTACTCAGTTCTATTACACTATATATGTATATACTATACAGAACCATTTGTACTTATGTTTCGTCGTCAATTAAAATATCGTGTTGAACCTGATCCAGGAATGCAACAACAAAACACTCATTTTCCAACAACACGTATGCCTGTTAGTGCAACAATGAATATGTCAACAAGTTATCCACTTGGTGATTCAACAAATACAAAAAAAACTATGGTGACACGTGGTGGAAGTTCTAGTGGTGGGCTTCGCGTGGCTGTTAATCCATATAAAGTTATACATGATCAAATTGATGAAGAAGATAATGAACTTCTAGAATCAGGCTTTGTTAGTCATTGTGATGAATAAATAACTTTTTTTGTGTTTAATGTTTTTTTCTCAGTTTACCGTCGTTGTCAGATAACTTTTTTTTCTTAATTTCTACTTGTTAGATATATTTTTTTTTTCTCTTTATATTTCATTCGTTTAACGAATATCATAATCCGATCAATTATTTTCATTTCTTTATATTTTTAGAAGACAAAAACAACTAAAGAGAGTTATTATAACTATTTTAGATTAAAAAAACCTCAAGTATATTTGTCGTTGTTTATAACTTCTTCTGTCGTCAGCAATGGCCGCTAAAGAAGCTGCTCAAAAAGATAAAGAATCACAAAAAGAACAGATTTATTATTCGGACACATATAAAGATGTAAGTACTTTATTTGATTTAAATCCTTTCTCTATTGTCTATTTAGGAAATGTATGAATATCGTCATGTAATTTTGCCCAAGGAAATTGCGAAGAAAGTGCCGAAAGGTCGGCTATTAACAGAACATGAATGGCGACATCTCGGTGTTCAACAATCACTCGGTTGGGTTCATTTTATGATACATGAGCCAGGTAAAAAAAAGAAAAATTTCAATAAAAATATTTATCCTTTTTTCTCTTAGAACCACACATTTTGATATTTCGCCGTTCACTTAAAGTTGCTCAACAAGTACAACAACAAAGGGCAGCAGCAGCAGCTGCCGCTCAAGCCCAACAACAGCAGTACAATGTTGTACATATGAAATAGCATTTAAATTTTTTTCTCTTTTTTTCTTTTTTCCTAAACTATATAATTTCTCATTCTATCCGCAATATAACATACCACATTGTAAACATTGGGCATGTGTGTACATTTTACTTTAATATATATATCTTCGATTTATCATGTTTTCTTAAAAAATAATTAAACAATACGCAGAATTAATAAGATTTTCTTTTTTTTCTTTCGTCTTATTCTATTCATGCATATCTGTGTTTATGTCAGATCTACGTATATTCTCAATGCGATGTGAATTATTTTCTTTTCTTCTTTTCTCTCGCTTATTGCGTTTAGTGTTCTTAAAAACTACGTCTTATCTTTTTTTGTGCGTCGTGATAAATGATATTAATGAACAAATGATAAAAAAAACCTAACATAATATTTTTTAATAATAAGATGAAAACTAATGAGGGAAAAAATAGAAAAATTGTTTCCTATTTTACAATATATAGTATTAACCTTATATTCATCGTATTCACGAGATTCAAATACTGAATGTATAAAAAAAAGCTATTGCAATTAGAGATGCATTTCAACTAATCATAAATTATATATTTAAATGAATACGATGTTGAAAAGAAATGCACCCGTCGGTCAAATCAAAACTTATAAAAATTGAGTTTATGTTTAATTGTAAAGTTAAGTAGTCTACATTCAACGGTCAACGAGAAAATGTCATATTTCTATATATAGTTTCTTTTTCATACTAAAAAATACTGATAAGAATATAAAACAATAAAAAATAAAGACTGTCAGTTTATCAAAACATCTAGTTTAGAGAGATAAAACGTTTGTTAGGAAAGAAATATGCTTCGTTTTATTGTTTTTATAACAATTTTAATACCTTTACTTGCAATTTTATTTGGTATCATAGAAAATGCTCAATATGTTAGTTTACCAAAACCAAAATATCTTGGTGCAATAATTAATCATTCTCCATTAAAATCAAATGAATTTGGTCGTTATATAAAACCATTTTCAGCTATTGATTATTCATGGGTTTCTTCATCAAAATTATCTAATTTTTTTACACTGAAACATTGGGATTTTAAATCGATTTCAACTGAACGTTATTTTATTGTAGCTGCTATAGCAAATTTTAATTATATAGCCCAGGCATTTACTTATGTAGTTGATCGTAAAAATCCAGATAAACCATTTTATCACTATTCAAGTAGATCGATTTTAGCATTAGCTATTAAAGAACAAGCAAAATCATCTGTTGATGGTTGTACTCATTTTTATCAGTCTTCTTCAGAATATATTCGTCTTTGCTATAATAAACATGAGCAAGTATATGAAATCGATGTTAATGTACCAACGTCTGATGGTCTTCAAATATCATTTGATTATAAAATTAATTTTTCAAGTGAACACGATCAATCAATGGCTTTAGTTTATCCTGTAGAAATAACACGGCCTGCTTATACACATAAAGTAGCCGGTTTACCTTCTCAAGGACAAATATCTATAGGTAATGATAATAAATATGATCTTATAAATGGTGTGAGTAGTATGGATTGGACATTGGCTTATTCAGAAAGATTATCTCGTTGGAAATGGTAATTGATCTATTGAAATCAATTATTTTTTAATCTTGATTTATATGTTATAGGGCTTGTCTTTCAGTAGTTGGTACTAATTCATCTGATAATAAACCTGTAACAATTGGTATAAATCTTTCCGATATGGTTTATAATGATGAAAATGGTGTTTCAATGGAGAGTGCTATTTGGTAAGTTGAATAAAAATGCTCTAATTTTTTGAAATATGTTTTATTATAGGATTGCTGGACAAGTGTATACATTGAATAAAATTGTTTATAATTTACCTGAAGAACGATATCAGACAAGTCAACCATGGCAAATCTATTCTACAGGGGAAATTAATTCCAAAATTCCTAAAATTAATTTAACTTTTCAACCATGGGGTAGTCAAGAAGAACATATCAATGTATTTCTTGTTGCCGGAGATTTTGTTCAAGCTTTTGGCACATATAATGGAACTATAGAATTATTTGATCATACATATGTTATCGAAGATGGCTTTGGTGTTGCAGAAAATCACTATGCTAAATGGTAGTTAACTTCGCATTTTTTCAAAACGAATTCTTTAAAATATTAAACAAAAAAGTTACAATATTGAATACTTGTAATTATTACATACATAAATAGAAAAAAAGAGCTTTATACCTTCAATACTATCTCATCGTAATATGCTATGATTTTTATATTAAATTTACAGGAATATTGTGATGCTCTTTGATAATAACTTTTTCACATTGTGAAGTTTGTAATTCTTGTCGTGAATGGACCACGACAGTATTAACATCTCCGAGTAATTGCTCTGTTATGTCATTTAATAATTATTTCTTGTTAACACTCAATACTGAATGAATTATATATTCAAGAATACTTAGAATTAATGTAAGACGAGCTTATTGACTATAAATAAGTGTGTCTACTAGGAGTTGCGTTATATAAAGCACCTTGGTACTATAATCAATAAAGTATTTTATACAAATATCATGAGATGCATGTCATTAAAAAGAAATTGTCTTGTCATAACCTCTTAAGTTTATTATTTGATCTATACAGAAAAACAATCTCCAATCTACAACATTCAGATTGATAAATAAAAATAAGATTTATGTTATATCTGCTTCAAGAAGAATTGTTAATTTAAACATCACAATAAACAATAACTATATGTTAAATTGAATATTTTTAATATGAGTGTTCAAGAGAGACATCTATTGGGAATAAAACAGATTGTTGTCCTTGACACCAATGGACTAGTGGAAATCTGTGGATACAAACTTTTTTTTTGAGTGCCTGGTTTAATTGATCGATCAATTGTTGTTCTTTTTTTCTCTTATACTCATTTGATCGATTTTCAGGTGTATTGTTAAACTTTTATTTTTATTTAATTCTTTTTCAAGATAGAAAAAGAAGAAGAAGAAATGTCATCGTCGAGTAATGGAACAGCTAGTGTTGAAGTATGAGTTATTCATTGAATAAAATTGAGATCCTTTGTATTTTTTTTGTATCTATTCAGTCACTTGCTGAAGTATTTCGTTGTTTCATCTGTATGGAAAAATTACGTGATGCTCGTCTTTGTCCACATTGTTCAAAATTATGTTGTTATCCATGTATTCGAGTAATGATTGATTTGGTTTTGTTTATGTAAATGATAATTAATGAGAGTTTGTACTCTAAATAGAGATGGCTAACAGATCAACGTCAACAATGTCCACATTGTCGAGCAACACTTCGTTTACATGATCTTGTAAATTGTCGATGGGCTGAAGAAGTAACAAGTCAACTTGATAGTTTGAAAGTTAGTGAAATGAGTAAACAAAAACGTGAAGAAAAAGACAAGTTAGTATTATAAGAAAGATTATTATTTTATTTTTATAAAAATAACAAAAAATATTTTTATATTAGATGTGAAGTACATCGAGAAAAATTAAGTGTTTTCTGTTCGTCATGTTCGAAATGTATTTGTCATCAATGTGCATTATTTAATGGCGCTGTAAGAAATAAAATATATCTAAAATAATTGAATTTCGTTTATATTCATTAGCATGCTGGTCATCTTTTTGTTCCACTCGATGATGTTTATCAAGCAAATCTATCAGCTGTTAATGAACATATTGGACAATTAAAACGACGTCATGTTGAACTTATTTGTTTGATACAGGATGTTGTATGTATTTTTGAAATTTATCGATGAAAAGATGTACATATAATTATATTCAAATTAGGAACGAAATGTAGAAAGTGTTAAAGCAGCAAAAGATGAAAGACTTCGAGAAACACGAAATGCTATGCATGTTATGCAAGCTAAACTTGATGAACAACTTAAAGTTAAATTAGATGCTTTAAATGGTAAATATTTTATATTTATAAACAAAAAAAAACCCAATTTCTTTAATTTAGTTCAACGTCTTCAATTTTCACGTGAAATAGAATTAATTGATCATGTTCTTCAAGATATTGAACATCGTGTATCAACAAGTGGTAAAGCAGAAGTCATTGGTAAACAACAAGATCTTCTTAATTCTATTCAAATGATTTATCGAAAGCCAATGACAAGTTTTGTAACAACACCTGTTCCATGTGATTTTCCTAGGTAGAATAATAAATAATCTCTGTAATGCAATTAAAATGAAATTGTCTCTTTTTAGTGAAATTGTTCCACAGTATGATTCAAGTACATTTGTTATAACAAATTTTTCTATACTTCGACATAATGTTGATCCAATTTATAGTCAACCATTACATATTAATGGTTTAACATGGCGTTTAAAAGTTTATCCAGATGGTAATGGTACAGTACGTGGTACATATTTATCTGTATTTCTTGAATTAACTAATGGTTTAAATGAACCATCAAAATATGAATATCGTGTTGAAATGATTCATCAATTAAGTAAAGATCCATCAAAAAATATTGTTCGAGAATTTGCATCTGATTTTGAAGTTGGAGAATGTTGGGGTTATAACCGATTTTTTTTACTTGATGCATTAATAAGTGAAGGATTTTTGGATACAGATAGTGATATATTAATCTTACGTTTTCAAGTACGTCCACCAACATATCAACAAAAATGTCGTGATCAACAATGGTATATAACACATGTTGAAAATGATAATCATCATTTACATAATGAAATAAAAATTTTACGAGATAAAATACATTTTCTTATGTCAACTAAACGACGTAGTTTACCATCAACAGAAAAAAATGATAATGAAGAAATATTTTCAACTAGTCCAATTAATGATAATAATCAACAAACTGATGATTCAAGTAAAACTGATACTACCGAAACAATACGAAGAGATGATCACGATGATAATAATGGCGATGACGATGATGACGACGACGATGACGATGAAGACGATGATGATGAACATACATCTCTAGAAGTAATTAATCGATTTTGTATTTTAGTTACAAAAAATATATTTTTTTTCAGTCTGGTGCATCATGTCCAATTGATTCAGAAGAATTAAGTACAGATGATGATAATGAAGACGATGAAAATGATATCGATGCTGAAAATGCGTAAGTTAGATATTTGAATTTTTGAAAGTAATATTTGTATGTTAATAGATTAACTGAAAATGATGTTGAAGGTAACCCATCTTGTGATATAACAACTGTTACTCTCAGTAGTCCATCAGCACATAATGAATCGAATCGTCATGAGCATTATTCTCTCATTGTTGCTTCGCCTGCTATGAGATCCAATGATGTCATGGCTCCTACAACAACATCACAAACAGCAGCATCAGCAGCAGCTGCTAAATCCGATGTAATGACAACAGATCCTGTTACATTTAGTGTATTATCCGCTGATATCGAAGATATTGTTCAACATGCACTTCATGTATGGAAAAATGATGCAATAGTTATAAATAATCAAAATAATACGAATGAAGCATTACCATTTAATAATGAAGAAAATTTTTTATTTGCTGATTTTTTACAACGTAATTCAGATGAACAACAAAATAGTTTTATACATCCAATGGGTATTTGAAACAAAATTTTTTATCTATAATCAAATGTCTATACTTAATTTTATTAATAGATAATCAAGCACATATTGCATCAATATTTCGCCCAATAACACAATCTAGTACTGATGACTCTTCAGCTGCTTCTGGTAAATGTTTAATGAAATTTTTTTTCTTATGAATATTATCTCTGTTTCTCTTCTTCATAGCTTCAACTGTTATTCATACATATCATCCACAATATCAAACATCATTAAATAATTTAATGTTACTTAATTCTCAGATTCAACGTTCAATATCTCCATCTGATCTTAGTCCACAACAAAGACCTCGTAATCGTCATCATCATCATCACCATCATCGTCATTCAGGACTACCACGACGATCACAAACAGCTCCAGCCATGAGTAATGATGAACAGCAAATATCTGAACACAATAAAACTGACATCTAATATAAAACAAGAAATATTTGTTTTTTGTTTTAAATCTCAGGACGATAAAATCTTTCTTCCTATCATATATATATATATCTATACATATGTATATGTATTGCTCTGTGATGTAATTGTCAATAGATTAGAATTAAGTGACTTCGAGCATTTGCACATGTGTATTAATTATTTATTCTTTTGTCAAATAAAAACGAAATTTTCTTTTTGCTGAATTTTAACTTTTTTTCTTTTGAAGTACACTCAAGGACATCCATTGATATCCTTGAGTGCATACATATGATACGATATTATCATTCTTTTATATCATTATGAAGATGTTACCCAGCAACGACCTTTTCTTTTTCAACAATAATCAATTCAATTGATAAGTAATAGAAATCATGTTAAAAGAAATTTTAACCTTGAAACTAATACATATAAACATGAAATTTGAAAAAATATTAATGTATATGTCTAGAGATAAGTGTATAATAAACATTGATTTCTATTCGTTCTTTACTCTATTCAATAATAAACATCACCCCATTTTACCTTCAGTTTTTTTTTCGTCATACAAGGTTATAACTTCAATCTTATTCAAAAAACAATATAAATAATGCCATCGAAATCAAACACGAATATACGATCGAATCAATGTTATATGCCACTTTGGATTACAGAATGGGCTATTGTTAGTTCATTGATTTGTATATGGGATGCAACATATGTTTTAACACGTCCAAGAAGTATGGCTAAAGGTGATCTATTTCATTTATTTTCTCCTTATGCAACATATATAACAGTTGATCCACTCTATGGAAATTTAAAAAATGCTTTTGTTATTGGACAAAGTTGGATGAATTATGTTGAACTTACACTTGCATTATTTGCAGTCATACTTTATCATATTTTCAAACGAAAAAATTCCGGTTGTCTTCTTCTATTAATTGCTAGTGTTATGTCTTGCTCAAAAACAGTATTATATTTTATACATGATTATTATGAACGATCATTACATCCTCATGATTCACCTTATGAAATTGAAACATGGCAATATCTTCTTCTGTTTATTATACCAAGTTCTCTCTGGATTATATTTCCATTTTGCTGTACATGGACTCTTGGTCGACAAATTATTAAAATCCTTGACTCATCAAACGATAAAACCAAATCAGCTTAAAATAAACTTTTATGTTTGTTTTTCATTCTAAAAAAAATTGTGATTTCAACCTATAAAATAGATAAAAATTTCTTTTTTTTATTATTATAAAACATTATGTATTTTGATTTTAATAGTACATAGTGAATGTTTTATATATTGTAAGCTAAGCGTTAATTTACCTATTTCTTTCTTAAAATAATTAATATTCTAAGGTTCTTTTTTTTCGCTTTCTCTAAATAACATTTTTATTATTCGGCTCATTATTGAAGACAAGGTCAACAAGTAACAGCAATTACATTGAAGTTTTAATGATTATTCTCAATAGGAATCAATATGTCGATTTTTCTTTGAGTATAGCAGCATGTGAAAAGTTATAAGTTAAATCTTCTAAATATATCATAATAAAATTCTCTAATTACTGATGAAATAATTCATTATTAAAAATATCATATAATTCTCTACCCATGTCGAACAATCCGACACGGAAACGGCCGGTTACGTATTATTTCGGAGATTTCATGGAAGCAGTATTCCCGTTGAACGGATCCGGTGACTGGATTTATCTGGTTCGGACCGAAACCGACAGGAACATGTCAAAACCGGCAGCCGGATACGATTACTTCACTTCTCCATCGGATTCCTGACATCTTCCGGACGGGTTCCGCTAGGAAATGGCGAGTTTTCTCAGGGATTTTGCCGGAAATTCATGGAATTCTGCTTCAAGAACCATCGTCCTGAGTATCTTTGCAAACTAAATTTTGATATTGTTTCGAGTTATTTTCGTCGTACCAATGCCTTTAACTGCAGGAACTTTTCCAATAAGCGATTCGCACACTCTCTGAATACATACTACAGATAACTAATGGTACCGCTTTGAAACAATCAAGAGTATCAAATGAATTTAAGGAACTAACTGAGATTATGGAATTAGGATGATGGCATTCTATTTCATCTTTACCCTCATCCATTCCTTCTAGTGAAATATTGCTGCAACTACAATATCGTGAGAAAATTTCTGATGTTGATTAATAGAGGGTCTTAACTTTATGTTACAGTAGAATATCTTTCGTAAAGATATCACATCGTTTATCGATAAAGAGATTTATGAATCATTCAAACAAATATGTTTATTATAAGAAATTGTATTCACCGTGAACTGGAATGTTTTCTCTAGTATTCACACAAATATGTTTATGACAACAAATGGCATAATTTCTATACGGGCACTGGTATTTACCTTGAATGGGAGTTTTTCTTTACTATTCATACAGATATATTTATGACAAGAAATAGTGTAACACCTACAGTGACATTTATATTTATCTTGAATTGAATTTTTTTGTTTACTATTTACATAGGTATGTTTATGATAAGAAATGGTATAATTTTTGCAATAACAGTTGTATTTCGTTATTACTATAAATATATAAAGACCCACCAAAATACAATCCTATAATTTTGATTGCACGACACACACACACATACACTTATAAATAAATATGAACGGCCGCTTTATTCTTTTCTTTGGCCTCATCTTGGCAGCTTTTTACAGTGAGTACAACTCTGTCACACTACATAATATCAATTGTTAATATCTTTTCTCTGTACTTAGTTGATGCATCTTATGCTCGCGCTATGGATATTAGTAGTCAGAAGCTGAACAATAGGGCAAGTGGAATTGCTCGACGTATCTACGACGAGATGGTAGAACGAGCAGCACGAGAAGTTTCTGATGATATCAAAAATGATGATGATCATCAGCATCACGTAGAACGACGACAAACGATTCCATCAGGCAGTTTTCATGGTGCTTGTTTCTTTGACGATGCTTTTGGTGCCTGTCCTACTGCTTGCAAAAAAGATGGTCATCCAGGTGGTGGAAAATGCCGCAATTTTAAATGTCTTTGCTTTTAAGACAATTTTGCTTTGCTATGTATTTGCTTTGTCTATCTAAATAATACATATTGCATATTGCTTAATCAAACAAACTAGATTTATTTCATTCTTAGAACCGTTAAAATAATTTCATTGCTGGTACCTGTCAAACCGGTTGATAAACCGATCCAAGTCATTTTGTTTCTTACTCTATAACAGTCAAATCAATCATTTGATTGGTCATATTATCCTCATAATCATTACAACAATACTATGGAAGGCTTGATTCTGAAGTGAAGTGCTTTTCAGTTTCTTTTTCATGTTTTCTCCTCTTTTGTATCTATTCCTGGGCAAAACACTACACAAAACTACCCAACTTATATTAACTACGTACGTGAATAAACTGTTGCCCTGGTATAGATCTATGTTGCTCATGAGAGAAACAGCTATGAGGAATATCGTGTTATCATTAAATCTAATTCCACTTTTATTCTGATTCTTACACTATTCAGATAGGTTAGTTATTTTCGAATATCTTCTGGTTATAATGAAAAATCGAATTGATATTGATCACAAGTATATATAAATAAATGCTACTGTGAATACTTTTCACAGGAATATATTTTTATTATCTATGAGAATATGACATTTTTTTCTCAGATCATTCTTCTTCTTTTTTTGAAAACAGGATTTTTATTAATAAAGATTTTCGTTTTGTGTTTATTTGGCAAAAAGGAACAAAAATAGATTATATTGCCTAACAGACAAACAACGAATAAAAAATGATGTAACTTAAATTGTAGCAGCTGCTGTTGCTGCTGCACTTGGATTATGAATCATTGCTTCACCTAATGATTCGAGTAATTCTTTTCTATAATCATCAAAATCTCCATCAATTTCATTGATTTGTCTATGCTCAATAACCCATAATTGACAATCAGTTTCTCGAATCAGTCTTTCATCGTGAGAAACAATAATAACACCACCTTTAAAATCATTAATTGCATCAGCTAATGCATCAATTGATTCAATATCCAGATTATTTGTAGGTTCATCAAGAATCAATACATCAGGTGCACGTGCTATCAAATCTGATAGTGCAACACGAGCTTTTTGTCCACCAGATAAATCTTTCATTTTTATTAAATGAGCTCGACCAGGTAAACCAACACTTCCTAAAGATTTTCTTGTATCTTGTTCAGGCATATTAAATGATCGTCTTAGATGTTCAACAGCTGTTAATTCTAAATCAAATTGTTCACCAGCATGTTGATCAAAACGACCAATACGAAGACGATGATTTCGACGAATTTCACCTTTAGTTGGTTCAATTACAGTCATTAATAATTTTAAAAATGTACTTTTACCTAATAACATAAAACTTAATTAATATATGATAATAACAAACTATTGTCAGAGATAAAATTAAGTAGGGATGGGTATAAGACAGCTATCCTGTAGATAGCAATAGTTAGTGACTTGCTATTGTCACCAAATGACTCAAGACGTCTTTTTCTCGGTAATATCTGTGATGAAATGTTTTTGAAACTAATTATCTGTAAAAATGTCTAGGTGAAATTTTGTTTTTCCAGCTTTGATTTAGATAGAGGAACTTCAAATGTATAGGAACTTGACATTCCAATAGAAATACAATCACAAAGTTTAGATATTAGGTCATTTTAAATAAAAATACGCACTTTTCTTTTTACTTATATAAATCTGAGAATTATTTAATATTTTACTTACCAACACCATTTGGCCCAACAATTGCAATTCGACTAGCCATATCAATACCAAAATTAAGTCTTTCAAAAAGTGGTTCTCGATCTTTATAACCAAATGTAACTTCATATGCACCTAATACAGGTGGATTAAGTGGTGGTGGTGATGGAAAACGAAATTTAACTTGATATTCTTTAGGTTTTTGTAATAATTCTTTCGTAGCTGTTAAATCATCATCAGCAGTATCTTGTTTTCTTCCTCGATCTTTTCCTTTTTGTTTCTGATCTTCACGACTTTTAACTTTAGCTGAAGCTTGTTTTGATGAATGTCCATGATCTTTTAATGCTTTCAATGCACGTTCTTGTTTTTCATAATCTTTTAATTGCTGTGAACGTGTTTGTAAAAGCATTTTTTTAAATAATGAATAATTGCCTTTGTAATAATATAATTTTTTTGCATCTAAATGAATAACATCAGTACAAATATTATCTAAAAACGATTGATCGTGAGAAACAACCAATAAAGTTTTCTTCCATGATTGTAAATAATTATCAAGCCAAATAACAGCATTAAGATCAAGATGATTTGTTGGTTCATCAAGCATTAATAATGTTGGTTCCATATAAAGTGCACGAGCAAGTGATATACGCATACGCCAACCACCACTAAAGGATTTCGATGGACGCATAATCATTTCAGCAGTAAAACCAAGACCAGCTAAGATTCGTCGTGCTTTTGGTTCAGCTGCATCAGCATTAATCGCTTTCAATTCATCATAAACATGTCGTAATTTATCCTGTAAATCAACTTCATTTGATGTTTCAAGTAGAGATTCAATTCGTTCTTTTTCTTTAATAAGATCTAAACGTTTTACATCAGCCAATAATAAAATTTCTAATGCATTTTTTTCATCAGCTTGAACTTCTTGTTCACATAATAGAACATCAATATTTGGTGGAATAGCTAATTGACGATTAGCAATATGTTTAAGTAATGTTGTTTTACCCATTCCATTTGGTCCAACAAGACCATAACGACGACCATTTGAAATATGTAAACTAGCATTAACAAATAAATCATTACCACGAGCTGATATAGAAAAATTATCGATTTTAATATCAATAGCAGTTTCAAATAATTGAGCTTGACGACTTTGTGTATTTGCTTGAGAAACAGAAAATTGATCGTCTACAGGTGCTGATGCAATTGCTTTTTCAAATGCAGCCTTTTTCTCTAAATTTTTCAGTTCTTTTCGTGTTAATTTTTTTTCTGTTGTTTTAGCACTCGAGTCTTCTTTTTCTGGTTCAGCATTGACTTCGGCTTCGTCGTCTTCTTCAGGTTTATCTTCTTCCATAGGAGTACTTTGTTCAGCAGCTAATAATTTCTTTAATTCTTTACTTGAAATTTTCTTTTTCGTTGTTGCTGTTGTTGTTGTTGTTGTTGTTGTTTCAGTAGTTGAGGCTAAACATAAATAAGGATATTTAGATTATATTGAACAACGAAGAAAAAATAATGATCAAGATAACATACGTGATGATGCGGGTTCTAATTGAGTAACGATTGGTGCTGGTTTTTCCTCTGGCACAGATGGTGTCGGCTTTTGTTCTATTACAGGTGGTGTTGGTTCTTGTTTGATAGGAATTGTTGGTGCTGGTTCAGATACAGTATCTTGTTGTTTCTTCTTCGATTTTGTTTTCTTCTTTTTATCATTATCATCCGAATCACTCCATTCAATAGGTGCTAAAAATTTTAAAAAGATTAATTAAAATAATGTTATTATTAAGATTTTGAGCCTACCTTGTGAAACTTCTTTAATTTCTACTGGTTGAATATTCTCAACAACTGGTTGTTCTTCTTCTTCTTTATCGGATTCAACTATAAAATAAAAATTTCTCTATCTCATATTTTTATAAAAATTGAATTACCTTTTTTTGTTTGTTGTTTTCCACCTTTATTCGGTTTATTTTGTTTTTTATTTTTTTTCTTCGATCGATTATCATCATCAGATTCATCAGAAAAGTTTACAGTAGCTAGAATGAAATCAATAAAATCATTAAAGAATTATTCTAAATATTAAATTACCTTGTTGAGCTTCGTTTTGAATAGGTGCTGGTGGTGGTGGTGGTGGTTGAACATCATCATCATGATCATCTTCATTATCTGATGCGGCAGCTTTTTTACCACCTTTTGGTTTTTTTCGATCTGATTTATTTTCATTTTGCACTGGTTCATTATCATCATTTTTATTCTTATTTTTTCCCTTGTTTTTTTTCTTATTTCGACGATCATCATCATCATCGGAATCAGCTGGTAGAGAAGCTAGAAAAACAAAACAAAACAAAACATTTCATTTTATTTTTTTATAAAAATAATTACCTTGTTTAATAGATGATTGATTATCGTCGTCATCATCATCATCGTCGTTTCCTTGTTTTTTATTTTTCTTTCCTTTATTTTTTTTATTTGTGTTTTTATTGCGAGGTTTTTCATCATCGGAATCATTGTGTGCAGCAGCAACAGCTTTTGTTGGTACTGGTTCATTGTCATTGTCATCATCCGATTGTTGTTTTTTTGAAGAAACTACTTTTGGTGGTGGTTGTGGCTGTTTCTTCTTTGCTGCAGTATCTTTTTTCTTATTATTTTTTCTTTTGGAATTATCATCAGAATCATCACTATCTTGACCACCCAGAGAAAGATTAACTACACCTTTCTCAACTTGTTCGAGACGTTGAAGGCGTTTAGACATTTGAGATCGATCTAAATATTATAAATGAAAAAACCATGAAGATCATATATTTATATGAAAATTAAAATAACTAATTATGCAAGATATGAGTCTGGCATAAACAGAAACTGTAGTATTACAAAAGAGGAGAAGGAGGAGGGAAAAGTTTATTGAGTCATTTTTGAATAATATTTTATGGATATTTTAGCTTCCATTAATATTCTTACTATCAATAGAGGTCACTAGTTAATAATACAAGTCTTTATAAGAATTATAAAAGTTTATATTTAGAAAAGAAAAGAGGACACGTTTCTTACGATATATTTCAATAAAAAACTCATCGAACTTCCAAGGTTTCAACATCAATAAAGAAAGTCGAATTCAACATTAATTCATGTTTGATTACAATATGATCTTAACATAAGTTTAGTATGAAGTATCAATCGATTTTTAACACATTCGATTTTGATTTCAAAAGATTTTTTCTTTTTCCTATATTCTGATTTGAAGCCATATTTTAATCAGATTATTGAATTTGTAAATAGGAAACCTAATAAAAATATTTCTGATTTGTCCTTCAATTAATCTTAAGCTAAGCATAAGACACCCTAAAACCATCATGATATAGACAATATAAATAAATATAGTATACATAACGAGTATGATAAGATCCTTCTAAACATTAATTCTATAATATTAGCATATCATATTTCTATGACATGTCAAGTAATTATTATTGATAAATTTTTATTTATATCTAACTATGACAGGTTTTTTTCATAATCGATGACGTATCATCTTATACAGATAAGTTTTCCTACGATATTTACTAACATGGAAAAAGAAGCGTTGATTTGCTAATTGATACTTCTCATAGACTTAAATGGCCTAGGTACAAAAAAAAGAAAACTGAAGTCTTCCAGATATTAGATTAGAAAATTATTCAATCGTTTAATTTAATTAATTATAATATTTACAAGGCTATTGTTTATCAATCTGCTATTCGATGTAGACAGACTATACCACTTATCTTACTCTAGATTTCCTATTTGATCACAATTGTCTATCATAATTAGAATAGACATATTATATTTTTAGTGTATATCCGTTAATTAATACAATAAAATCCTTTGTTTTCAAAGCGTTTTTCTTCATATCTTTTCTATTCGTCTATCTATTTTTTTAATGTATTAAGATACAATATTATAGACAAGTAATTGTGAGAATAATTTATTGTTTGAACATATCGTATCAAAGTATTTGATTAGTAAATACTTCTTATAAAAAAAAAGCATCATGTCTAACTATACAAGAAGTTGATGAATGAGGCAAATAGTATATGAGCACTAGTAGTTGATGATGATGGCCCTATTGCACTTAAAAGAGAAGAAAGCAATGTGTATATGAGTGTGTATGTATGTATGTATGTAGCACGTCTAATTGCCCAAAAAACGCGAATGATCGACGTAACGATTTTCTTCGTTCTCATCAGCGTTGTTCACTCGTTCCTATTCTTCTGATTCTTTTAAATCTGATTATCAAGTGGTATGGATGAGTAGTAGTAGCAGCAGTAGAAGTAGACAAATGACGATGATGTTGCCCATTCCGTTTTGTTGTATGAAAAATACATCAGCAGACAATAGAATGAATGAGTCCGCTATTCTGTTTACTACCCTCGAGGCACCGATTGTCGCCTCAATAAATATATTAGCCTGTTTCTCCTTTGGTTGCCTTCTTTCACTTCACTGGACTACTGCAATGACACTTGTCAGCGATCCCGAAGCCCCTGAACAGTTATATGAGATCCAATTTCGAGGTTATCTTAATATCACAATCGTTCCCATCGTTAGTCACGCTGAATTTGAGAACTATCTATTTGATCGGTAGTAATGTTGCGTCTGCCATGTCTATGATATAGTTGTTCGATTCTTCCCTTCTCATCAACGATTATTAATAATCAGTATCATGATCAATTCTTCTCCTGCTCTCTCTCTATCTCTCTCTCTCTCTCTCTCTCTCTTTTCGCCTCTAGTCTTATTCTTTTCTTTCTGTCTCTCTCTCTCTGTCTCCCTGTCTCGCTCTCCTTCTCTTCTTTTCTTCTCAGCTTTTTTTTGTTCTTATAGAAAGAGAGTACAAAACGAACGAACGAACGAACGAGAAAGAGAGCTGATGAATGTCCAGTGTATATGTATATACGAGTAACGTATATGAATAAAGAACATCGTCACTGCTATTTCTATTGCTGCTGTTGTTACTTCTATAACTCCTTCTTCTCATCATATAACAATTATCGCATTTCTTTTCTCATGTATCTGCCTGCCTGCTGATACTCGTTACCAGAACCTATACTTACAATCATATAACCAAATCTACTTTTATTATTACAATTCATGTTTAAACCAAATCTTCAAACGCGAATCATCTCATCAAGAAGATGACCCTACTTTTATTATCGTGTAGTATCTACATTCTTTTATTATTTCAACAACATATTACAAGTGCATGTCCGCCTGTTTGCTCATGTCATGGACCCAATGTTGACTGTAGCAATCGAGGTTTACAAACTATACCATCTGGAATACCACGCAACGTTTTTAAACTGTAAGTACTCCATTAGTAAATAGGAAAAAAAGATAAAGTTGTTCATTCGACCTTGATATACGCATATATAATCAATGAATAAAAAAAAAAGAAAAGACCTTAATCTTTCTTCTTGAGACGTGTTTGCATGACGATTCAATAGGATTAACTTATGAGAGAAAGAGCAGTGCAACTGCTCAATTCATTGTTGATGATGTCATTACGCACAATTGAATTTTGCAAGAATGTGATTGAATTCTCCAGGTGTATGTTGGTGTGATGTAAACTGGAAAGTGCGAGTAAACGAGAAGTCGACGAGCTTCTCCTATTTCCTTTTGTTTTTTCTCTTATCTAAATTAAATGTAAAGATGGATTTCTATGTCCTTCGTCAATAAGACATTGCCGCGTCGCTTCGCTTCATTGATAATGTCATACTGATGTAATACAATTGTTGCCTTTGCAATCACCCGTCTGTCATTTTCAGTTAGTCTCGATCGATTTAAATCGTATTGAATAAGCATATGATCGTTTATGTATATATACATATAGATATATATATATATATTAAAGACTGATAAAGATATCTTTATCTAAAAACATAGACAGACAGATAGACCTTCCCTTAGCGTCGATCTTTCCGCTCATATTCTTTTTTTCTTTTATGCTACCGTACAATTTCTGTATATGTTGCGTCATAAAATCTTTTATGCAACCTTAATCATAATCGGCAAGTATTTATATCGATCTTTGAGCACGGAACGGAACAAATAATCATAGTATACATATAGAGATATAGAGATATTTGTATACTTCTTGCTAACGTTGTCGTTGACGCGTATGCACGCTCTTTAGCTTTTCTCGGCATGTTGAGATAGATCAATGAACGGTGTATAAAAGAGAGATTACGCCATACACACGTTACTCGTAAACAAAAAGTAAAGTGAATGCCAAGTGTTTTTGTTGATCATATAGAATAACAATCGTTTGTATATGAACGTTGAGAAAGAATAAAATGCTGTATGCACGCACACCTTGCCTGATCGTAGACGAGATTGACACACAAGCTTTTGCTCATCTATATCGATAAATGTATTGTGTCTTATCATTCTTCAATTTGTGTGAATCATTTTCTTCTCTGTATACTTCTTCATATATATATATATATATATATTAGTAATAAGACAAAAGGTCAATGCTCATCAATTGTGATGTAACTAGAGATCAGGCACCTTAAAATTCGGACAAGATGTTTAAAGAAGAAGAAGAAGTAAAAATCGCATGATTTCTTTTATATGTTAAGACAAGAATATTGTTTCTTATATTGACCTAATACATTTGTTGTTCAATAGAAAAAAAAAAGCGAAAAGAAAAGAAAAGTTCGTGCCGTTGCTTTTTACTCTTTATGGTTTCATTCGAAGAATATTTGTAGGAAAGAACAATGATTATAGTTCATAAAATGTGTTCAATGAAAGTAGAATGATTGAAAGGTTTCTTTTTTCACCTGTGTTTTAAATATATATATATGTATATATACATAAATAGAATAGAATCAACAGCTTTTTTTTCTTCTTCGGTCTTTTTTTTTTCGCCTTCATTACAATAAATAAATGGTTCACACCAACCATGGACATACAAAAGTATTGGGCATATACAATAGAATGAAAGAAAGCAAAAGAAAGCTTGACATACCAATGTGAAAAAACTACGACTACTTCTACTACTAACATTGCCCGCCCATTTACCACTATCTTGAACTCCAAAGGTGGCCTGTCAACTACGAGTACGATGAGATGAATTATTGCATCATATTAAAGAGCTCAGCGAGTAATCGATGATAACAAAACCTATAACGTTTTCTTTTACACTCACTTCATCATCTAAACTAAATAGAAAATAGTTCGACGATGAAATATCAAGGCCAATTATGTTCGTTCAATCACACCCACTGAGTAATGATAGAAATCAGTTTACTTCAATTATCGATGCTTATCCGAAAGAAACATAAGAAGGATGTGGCAAATGAAGAGTTCGTGTTGTTCAGGCAGTCTAAAGAGCAAATTGTGTTCTGGTCGATTATCATAATGGTTTATTCGCTTTTACTCTTTCTCTTTACCCCCATATAAATATATATATATATTTTTTGTTTGTATGACCTCGCTTAATTCATTGTCACCTATACATTCTAACAAATAAAGGCATGAATGAACCAAATACTAATCAATGTATAAGAGCATAAATGTGCGAATGGGCCGTTAAATTGGTCCTCTTACATTTTCTACTCTAAACTCTTCAATTAATATATTACACAATTTTTTTTTCTGAATGTTCATATTTGCATAATTGACGTATATGAAATATGGGAATAAGAAGAACGTGTATATGTGTGATGCTTTCTTACTAATCATCAATAAAATATAATATTGGATAAATTATCTACACTAAAGAGCAAAGAAGAAAATAATGGTTACACATATTACACAAGAAGTGTAATAAAGTGACTTATGATAAAGTTCACTTCTCAAGAGAACTTCAAAGTTATGACATCGGAATAATTTTCTTCTATAGAACATATTATCTGTATTTTCTCAAGAAAAATTAGATTTGATAAATTAATAAATATATACATCTGTTTTATGTATAATGAATTTTTTTCTTCTTTTTTTTTATAGAGAATTACAATTCAATAATCTATCAATTATCCGAAAAGATGATTTTAAAGTACTTCGTCAACTACGCATTTTGTAAGTATGATTAATGGTAGAAAAACAAGAATAGATCGTTTTTAAGAGTTTCTTTTTAACATGTTTGAGTGAACATCTTTGAACCAACCGTATGTTCCCTTATTGACAAGGTTAAGAGCTCTTCTTCCTCTTCCGACGTTCGTACAATGGCAAGGTCAAGTAGACACATAAGCACACATGCTATTCAAACTTTCGAAGATTTCATATAATGTACATATATATATGAAAATTATACATTCAATAAACTTTGTATGTATTTCAAAATGAAAGAATATAAATAAGAGAACATCTACTTTAATGACCTTCTCATAGGGTTACCTTTTTTTATTCATACGTGTGTATATGTATATACAATAGCAAAAATTATGATTTATATTAATCGGATGTTCACATCTTGAATAATTATAATATGAAGAATTGAAACAAAACAAATCGAAAGAGATTAGAATTTAAGGTTCAAGTTCAAGACATACATGCACTTAAAAGAAACGAAACGAAACGAATAAAGACGTGATGATAACAAAAATCGAGGTCACACTGATGTATTATCTTTAATTTTGAAAAGCTTGAGAATTTGACAGTTTGATGTAAACATTTCTTTTTTTCTTCTTCCTTCCTATGATTTATTTGTTATATTTCATCTAGAAATCTTCAAGACAATCAAATCCATACAATCGATACTGATGCATTTCGAGATTTAACATCATTAGAAAAATTGTAAGTAAAATTATCATGCAACTCTATTTTTTTATCAAACAGTGCTTTTGTTTTGTACTATATATATATATGTTGTCATCATCATCATATTGTTCGATTAAGTATGAGATTGTAATATTTAACAATCATCGTATGTCTGCGATGACCGTTGTATTGTACTACTACTACTACTACTCTTGAAATTATAGTTATTTGTGACTAGTCGATAACTATATTTAGAGAGTGAGAAGGAGCTCAACTCTTATTTCTCCTCCCTCTTTCATATTTTTTTTATTTTATGACCGACTATATCATTTGTCTGACTATATATCGTTCGGTTCATTGAACAGACATATTGATAGAGACTAATTGAAATGAACAAATAATGTAACCTGCCTTCTTGTTGTTCTCGGCATGCAGCCGTCTAATGATAGGCAATCAATGTAGTTGAATGTATTTATGTAATATCAATGAATGAATGTATAACTAAGATGTAGTAAAAGAAATGATGATGATAATGACAATAATGATTGATGGATTGCTTGATAGATTGATGGAATATTGTATATATATTTTTCTAGACGTCTTAACGGCAATAAACTAAATCACCTTGCTGATGGCACATTTGGATCCCTTAAACAACTCCAACGATTGTATGTTACTGTGGATTTAATTAAAAAACTTAATATTTTGTTATTTTCATCTATACTAATAGGGATCTTAGTTCTAATCGATTACGAGCTATCAAAAAAGGAACGTTACAAGGTCTTCAAGAAATTGATAACTTGTAAGTGTTTATCAATTAATATTTCTTTTAACAAGATTTTTAATTATAATTTTTTTTATTGTATAGACAATTGGATCACAACGAAATTAGTTGTATTGAAGCAGAAGCTATTAATGGACTTAATCGATTGGAGATTATGTGAGTAATATAAAATAAAATCTTGTCATGTTTTATGATTCTAGTTAAATACTAATACTAGTTTAGAATAGAATAGATTTTTTTCAATTAGAATTTGCATGTGAAATATTAAATTTACTGGTGTTGTGTTTATGGGGTTTTTTTCTTCTAGTACTTTGAATTTCAACAATCTAACAACATTGCCTATATTATCGCTTGCACGACTTATCGATTTGAGGGTTTTGTAAGTATATACATTTTTATCAATATAGCACAAAAGTTTAGTTTGCACGTACACTCAATTATCCTTATATATATCCAATAAAAGTTCAATTCTAATCTTTGTTTTGTTTTTCTATCAAGACGACTTCATGATAATCAGTTTGTATGTGATTGTCGTCTACTTTGGCTTGCTAAATATCTTAAATTACATCCATTTCTTGGTCTCAATGCTCGATGTCGAGATTCTAATACACTTAATTCTAAAGATATAACATCATTAATCGATGATGAAAAACAATGTAATAGTATGGGTAATATATCAAATTGACTCATTAAAAATTTAATATAATAGATTTATTTTTTAAACAGATGTTGATGATATCGATTATACATGTAATGTACCTATATGTCCGTATCCCTGCACATGTTTTAATGGTGTTGTCGATTGTAAAGATAAAGATCTAACTGAAATCCCTCGAAATATACCAGATACAACAATTGAATTGTAAGATTTTTTTATTTTAATAAATTAAATAATATTTTCTCTATTGTAGACGTTTGGAAAAAAATCGTATTATAGAAATTCCACCAAAAATATTTCTTCATTTAAAAAAACTCCGACGTTTGTACGTGATTATTTTATTTTTTATCAAAAAAAAATATTTTCGAAATTTTTCTAGGGATATAAGTAATAATTTAATAGCGACAATTTATCCCGATTCATTTGCCGGTCTTAAATCATTGAATTCACTGTACGTATTTATTTATTAATCCTAATTTAGTTTTTACTTAGAAAATATTTTCAATGAGAAAAAAAAACTATTCTTTAGTATAATCTATCGAAATAATCTCAAAATGTTACCATCAGAAGTGTTCAGTGAATTGAACTCTTTACAGCTTTTGTGAGTGATAAGAAAAGAAAGAAATATGTATATGAGGAAAGGCATGTTTAACATTCACTATTGCATACTTACACTTTTGTAATGATATTTGGTGATGGTAAAAATAAATACAGCATGAAAACTGATTTGTCATGCAAAGAAAATCATTTAATTTGTTTTTTTTTATTCCCCTACTCACTTACTCACTTGCATGAATTATTCTAATCTTATTTATTGGTTATGGATATAGTATACTCTCAAACAATCAGCTTGTGCATTTACCATTTGGTATATTTCATCACGAATTTACGCATCTTCAACTCTTGTGAGTAAGCTTAGCTTAAACTGCTTGTTGTTTGTAGTATATATGTATTTTTTTGAATTTATCAAAACCATCAATTTATTTCTTATAATATCTTGTTTCGTTTATATATACAGATTACTTAATGCAAATAAAATAGTATGTGTACGTGGAGACACATTTCGTGGATTAGAAAAATTAAGTTTATTATCATTGTATGATAATCAACTTAAGACATTAGCTAATGATACATTTTCACCATTGAAAAGTATTCAAACATTGTAAGTATTATTTTATTTTATATTTATTGATTAAGAATTCTTTTTTTCTTAAAGACATTTGGCTCGAAATCCATTTATATGCGACTGTCATCTTCGTTGGTTAAATGCATATTTACGTGAGAAACAAATCGAAACAAGTGGCGTTCGATGTGCCGGACCGCGACGTATGGCAAAACGAAAATTTGGTGTTTTAAATGATCGAAGATTCCGTTGTCGAAGTTAGTTTTGTTTCCTCTTCAATTTAACAAACAACTTCTTCTTCTTTCTAATTAGATCGAATGGAATATGAGCAAACAACATATAGTGCTCAGTGTGGTGTACAATGTCCTAAAGGTTGTACATGTGATGGAACAACTGTTATTTGTCGTGGTTTACAATTACAAGAAATACCTAATGATATACCACCGTTTACTACTATTCTGTAAGTAACATATCATTTAACGATACAGATATAAATGACACTGACAGATGGATTATCATGATAGGCTTCATTTGAGAAATTGATATTGTTTTTATAGAATTGGAAAGATAATATATCTTTATCTAAGTATATTGCGTGAATAAATTAGGATATATGATATAAGTCCTTCGATGCGTTATTGTTTTAGAAAGGTCATGGTGCTATACATGTATTGTTAAGGTTATCAAAACTATTTTACACAATTTCTATTTGTGTATTCAAGGCGAAAAAAATCTTTACATTACGAATATTTGATTTTCAGCATATAGGTCTTGTAATTAATTGATGTTGAAATCTTCATACGAAAAATCGAAATTTATTTCCATCAATTATTTTATTTCATTTATTTTTTAGTCATCTACAAGACAATCTAATTAAACGAGTTCCACGTGATGGTAGTTTTCGACGTTTACGAAGTCTTCGTACTCTGTATGTTCGAAAATAAATAATTTAATAAATTTGTATGCTTGATTGTTAATAGTGATTTACGAAATAATCGATTGGAAGAAATTGATGACGATGCATTCGATGGCGCTGATTCATTAAATGAATTGTAAAACAAAATTTTTAAACAAAAAAAATTAAAATATTTTTTTTCTTCTATTTGAAATAGATTTTTAAATGATAATAATTTAAATGTAATAACATCACAAACATTCAATGGTTTGAAAAACATTCGTACGTTAATGTTACGTACGAATAAATTAACTTATATTAAAAATGATACTTTTTTTGATATGGATACACTTAAAACATTATCATTACATGATAATCGGATAAAATGTATTGCACCGGGTTCATTTGATCGATTGCGATCATTATCAGCTTTGTAAGATAAATTTTAACATTTATTTTTGTATTGAAATCGTTTTTGTTTTGTAGAGATCTATTATCGAATCCATTTGTATGTAATTGTCATATGAAATGGTTAAAAATTTGGTTAAAACAAAGTAAAATTGTAACTGGTTTTCCAAAGTAATTATAGATTTTTTTTCTATAATCTTTTATTAATTTATTTTAAATATTAAGATGTATGTCACCAACAAAACTACGCAATATTCCTGTAAGTTTTAATTTTTTGTCTAATAACAGTATTTCATTTGAACTTTTTTTATATTTAGATTGTTAATTTAACTGATAATGATTTTGTGTGTAGTCGTAAGTATATAATAAACAAAGAAAAACTTCATCCTATCGAATCTGAACTAATTTGTATCCATATATTTAATCAAAAAAGTATTGAAGGAAATAGGCGAGATTATAATTATAATTAAGAACATAGAGCCAGATGTTATATGATATAACTTAGCATATGAACTGATAATATGGTTTTAGAAGGTTTCAGGAAATGGAAAGAAAATATGACATTTTTCTTTATTAACACCGGATCCAAGTTCAAGGTAGCTTTAAGGGAATATTGAGAACTGCACTTTTCAGGGACGGAAGTATGTTCTAGAGAATATCTGAACTTATGTAAATAACCAGAGAAATGAAGAGAGTCAAGTAAATAATAGGTTGTAATTGAATTTTAATACTTTTATTATATATCTTCAGTCAGAATTCGATACGGATGAAAATTTTTGATTCTTAAAAATTAATTTTTGTTTTATTTTTTAAAGCTACTGAAGTCGATGTATGTGATGTTTCATATCCGAATCATTGTCCACAAAATTGTTCATGTTACAATCATGTTGTTCGTTGTTCTCATGCACAACTAAAAAATATACCATATGAACAAATGCCAATTGATACTGAAGAATTATATTTAGATGCAAATGAAATTCAAGAAATACCAGTAGAATTAACAAATCGTCTTATTTATCTTATAAGAATTGATTTAAGTTATAATAAATTACGTGTTATACCAGCAAATATATTTTCAAATTTAACTCGACTTGAAACATTGATTTTATCATACAATAAAATTCGTTGTTTAGAATCATCATCATTTAAAGGATTGAAAAATCTACGAATTTTGTATGAATTGAAATACTAGAAAATTTTTGTCATAAAAAAATTGAATTTTGTTTATTATAGGTCATTGCATGGAAATGAAATTTCAACAATTCCTGAAGGTTCATTTAATGATCTAACAGCTTTATCACATGTGTAAGTTATAAATAAATAGATAAATATAAGGAAAGGTACAATTAAATATATATTCTAGTGCACTTGGTGGTAATCCACTTTATTGTGATTGTCATCTTGGATGGTTATCATCATGGATTAAAACCGATTATGTTGAACCTGGTAAGAACTTTCAAGTAGAATGTATTATCTTTTAATTGTATATTATATAAAACAGTTTCTTATCAATAATATGACCATCACCTAATGGGAAAAAATCGAATAAATCCTATTTTTAACTATGCAGAAAAAATTCATCAGATTGTGTATATCATATTTTTGTCTGATATGTCTAATCGATCTGCTATAGAGTTTCTTCAGAAAAATGTATAACATAAATATGTTGAAATGTTGATAACTTTTAATCGATGGAATGATTATCAATGAAATTTGAATCTTTGTTATATCTTAAATTAATTCAGCGGCTTAGATAAACAATAAATGACATAGTTTAATTAGGAAAGAATTCCAGCTGATTAGAAGTATTAACGAAAACAAAACTTGATAAATCTGATTTGATAAGCAGTTTTTGAGAAATTTCTTTAATTAAATTGTTTTTAAATATAGGTATTGCTCGCTGTGCTGGACCACCTCAAATGGCCAACAAACTTCTTCTTACATCACCAATATTTTTCTTTCAATGCAATAGTATGTTTTATTTTTTCTTAATTTCTTTTAATTAAATAATATGTAATTCAGATGAAAGTGAATCAAAACGTTATCGAGAAAAATGTGATCCATGTTTAAATGGTGAAAATCATTGTTCAAATAATGGTTCATGTCGTGCATTATCTACGGAAAAATTTACATGTGATTGTTTATCAGCCTATCATGGAAAATATTGTGAGAAATTGATTGATGTTTGTTTCGATAATCCATGTAAATCAAATGGAACATGTCAAGCACTTGCTGATGGTCGTTTTAAATGTTATTGTTCACCTGGTTTTACGGGAAATCGATGTGAGATGAATCTTGATGATTGTATTTCTCATCGTTGTCAAAATAACGGTACATGTATTGATAAAATAAATGATTATTCATGTAATTGTTTACCATTCTATACTGGTAAGTTGAAACAAGAGGAGATTTTTTAGAAACGATTTATTTATTTATTTAGGAAAATATTGTGAAATAAAATTCAATTGGTGTGAAGGAGATTTAAATCCATGTAAAAATAAAGGACGATGTTTAAAAACAATTAATAGTTATAAGTAAAAACGATTAAAAAACAATTTTTATAATAATGATAATTATCTTTGTAATTAATTTTCATTTAGATGTGAATGTTCATTAGGTTGGGGAGGTTCAAATTGTACAGACAATGTAAATGATTGTTCAAATCATGCATGTCAATTTGGTGTATGTGTTGATGGTTTAAATGGTTATACTTGTAAATGTGATATTGGATTTAGCGGACAATATTGTGAAATCGCTCCACAATTAGAATCACCATTTATAAGTAATACAAGTCGAACAACACCAACAAGATGTACAACTGATATTTGTTCAAATAATGGTATTTGTTATGAAGAATCTTTAAATAATTTACGTTGCCGATGTTATCCGGGTTTCATTGGTGATCGTTGTGTTATGTTAAAAAGTATACATTCAATAACAAATGATTCGTATATGAAATTACCTAAACCAAATGTTTATCCACGTTCAAATATTACAATTGTATTTAGTACAACACATAGTAGTGGAATATTAGTCTATTTTGGACATTTGGGACATATGGTTGCAGAAATTTTTATGGGAAGAATACGTGTTAGTTATGATGTAGGAAATTCACCGGGTTCAGTTATGTTTAGTTATGATACAGTCAATGATGGTAAGAAATATACTTCTTTTTTGCTGAATTTTTAATCTTTCAAATATTTGTTTTTTCTTTTTAGGAAAACTTCATGAATTACAACTGATTAGTGTTGGACAAAATTTTAGTTTAACTGTTGATCGAGGTTATACACGACATATAAATAATCGAGGTCAAAGAGCTTATTTGAATACAAGTGAAATACGTGCATTGTATATTGCTGGTATTCCACATGATTTAACAGCGCGAGCTTTACAACTATGGCATATTCGAGAAGCAACATCATTTCAAGGTATATGATAAAATTAATTGAAATTTTGTAAAGTAATGTTATTTATTCTATTTAAAGGTTGTATTCATGCACTTTATATTAATGATGATCCAATAAATTTTGCTAATGTTGATTATCGTCATAAAATTTTACCTGGTTGTGAAACTAATGAGTACGATCAATCATCATGCACAACAGCAACATGTCAACATGGTCAATGTCGTCTTGACAATTTCAATTATAAATGTATATGTCATGAAGGATATACAGGATCTGCTTGTAGTCAACGTAAATAATTTTTCATATATAACAAAAAGAAAAAAAAGGCAACTAAAAACGTTTTTTCTTTGTAATTTTAGCTATAACAACATCAATTGCATTACCATTAGTACATTCATGTGGTTTGAGTATTGAAACAGGATATTATATTGATCCATTAACAAAATGTACAAGTAATAGACGATTACGTATGACAAAATGTACAGGTTTATGTTCATCATTAAATAATACTACTCAATCATCATGTTGTAAACCAATTGAAGCAAAACGTCGATTTTTTCGTATGACATGTGCAAGTGGTTTTACATACAGACAGTCACTTGACTTTTTTAAACAATGTACTTGTTCGAATACTGTATGTTAAGTTTTGTTGTATGTGGCATAACTCAGGTTTATTGTATATAGTATAATGAATATAAAATCTCAAAAAAATTCTATGCTTTTTTTTCTTCTTCTTCTTCTCTTTCCTATTTGATCTTGTCTTTTGTGCGTGTTTCCCGTATTTTTGTTTGTTTGTTTCGTTTTCTTTTTGATCTTATTCTTTGTTGACCCCAGTTTTGATTTTTCTTTTTTTTTTCATTTTAAATTTATTATTCTATTTGCTAATCCTTATTTGGATATTTTTGTAAGTCAAGCGTATTTGTTCGCATTTTGTCTTGTTAAAGAAAAGAAAATAATTCATGCTTTGGGAAAAAAAAACATGTATTGTCATTATTAATGTTTATATGTATTTTTTGAGAAGAGAATTTATTAGATAAGATAAGGTTAATAGATTTTTACGAATTAGTATTAATATTGAGATTAATGGAAATTTATAATTAAAAAAGAAATAAATCAATATAGATAAAATTATCCAAAAGAAAATTTTATTTGAATAGTTCAAATATGACAATAATGTCTCCTATCATTGCTGATATGACTGTACCTAATTCATCTACCGCATGTGAAAGAACCTTCAGTACAATGAAATTAATAAAAACAACTATACGCAATACAATGTCAGATAATCGATTGAGTGTTCTAGCAGTGGAACGCGACTTTGTTATACGACAAAGAAATATGCTGCATCACTTTATATAGCCTTTTGAAAAGCAGTAGGGCGGCGCCGACCCACCCACCGATTTCTGGTTACGCCACTATACAATAGTCTAAAATCTTATATAACATTCACTATGTCATATCGAATAACATGAACAACAATTGATTTATTTAGAAATATACAATATCAATTTTGTCTGTATATATATTATGGTTAGTATTGAATTGTTTAGGTTCCAGATATTTTCTTCTTTCTTCATTGTGATTTTTCTTTAAAATATGTAAATAGAATGGTTTAAAAAGAAGTTTATATGATAAAAATAGGAGACCAAATAATTCTAAACATACAGTTATAAATAAAAGATTTTGAAATACAATTTCCGATGGTTTTGCTATTGGTTGTTGTAAATTTTTAACATAATATGGAGTTTCAGTAATAATCACTGTTAATGTTGTTAATGTTAATGTTGAACGAATAAATTGATCAGCTGTATAAAATAAACTATTATAATCTACTGTAAATGTTGGAACATAAATACCACTAAAATGTGCTTCGCCACCATCCATTGCTAATGTTTCATTAACAACTTTTGTTAATGAAAGTGATACTGGTAAATTTCTTGCTAAAATAAAATCATTTTTATAAAATGATTGATAAAAATTTAATTGTTTTAAATAATAATTTCCATTATGATATTCTTGTCCATAAAGACCAATACGTAACGCTCCTATTGTTTGTATATCAGCTATATAAATTTGTATAGATATATGTTGATACGGTAAAGGTATTGATAAAAATAATGTCGAATTAATATTATCACAATTTAACCAACGAATTGTTGACCATTGTATACCATATAAAGCTTCAATTGATATCGCATTACATTTAATGACTGTATTAATCAATTCAATATTTAAAATAAATTCTTGACTATTTAATAAATCAAACATTTTTTGATCAGCATCTGTTAATGGTATAGCTAAAGATTGTACACTTGTTTCAAATTTTGCATTTCTTATTGTTGTATCACAAGCAAAATATGAATCCGATGATGTTTCTATTGGATATTGTTTAGAATAATCTTTACTAAATATACAAGCAAATATAACTAATGCAATAACTGAAAAAGATGCTAAACCACCAACCCATAATTCACCTTCACCAATTAAATCTGTATGTCGAAATATACATTTTAATAATGTTCGTAATTTTTTTCCTCTTGGATTTTCAGTAAAATATTTTAAAATTCCCATAATAATGATAATAGTTATACTAATAGCAGCTACAATTAATGTCCAAAATAAAGGTGAAATATATAAACAACGACCAGATTTTATACTAAACATATTTTGAATAAGAATTTCATCGAATGAAACACTTTCAGGTGATTTTGGATATGGTATTGCTTGAATAACAGTTTGTAATGCTTCTAGAGATACTTCAGTAACAGAAGCAAGTGGACAGAATGTATATGATGAACATGGAATACATAAAGTTGAATAATTACCGGGATTTTTTGTACCACTTGGACAAAGACTACAATCATGAATTCCTGATTGATTTTTATATGTTCCTGGTAAACATGCTTGAGATTTTGTAACTAATGGCATTGTTCCTGTATCTTGTATAGTTGAATAAAAACCTGGTGATGTTGAAAAAAATATAATTATACGTCCATTATTATCAAGTAATGCTAATGCTAATGTTGATGAAACAATATTAATAAATATTGGACTGATAGTTAATGGTAATTTTTGATGATTATTAGGAAAAACTGATAGTGGTGTACTATTTGAATTATAACCATTACTTTGAATATCATATATATATATTTGTGATGTTAACCATTCATATTCAAGTGTATAAACATTTACTATTATTGCAGCTGTACCATTATTTAACCAAGCTATATTTTTTCCATTACCTAATGCTCTACCATTTGTATTTCTACTAATAAAATATAATTTTATTGGTTGTATTATATTAACAGAAAATAGAAATACTCGATTTATAAATTGCATTCCAACAAGAACTTCACCATATTCATTTATACTAACAGACATATCATATTTAGCTGAATAAGAATTAGCATCACTATTTGTTAATAAATCTTGCCATGTTCCAGGCGTAGCTATAGGTTTATATTCATGAACAATAAATGGATGTTTATTTGTTGAATTGAAATTAATTAAGTAAATTATTGGACTATATTTTACAATAGAATTTTGACCGTTGTAAATAAATCCTGATATAACACCAAAATTTTCATGTATATCAACAGCATGAGGAATAAATGTTGAATCTGGCCATGTTAAATTTCCATTCCATATATCAAGTTTAGATGTATTTCGTGAATCAAATATATAAATAAATTCATTTGAAAATCCATAAATATATCGCCCATAAGGTTCAATACCAAGTATAAGATATTCTTGATGTTGATAATTAGATATATATTGAAAATAATATGTCAAACTAGTATTAGAAGTTATATTTGAGTTATTATTATAGAATGCTATACCGACAAATATTCCGCTTGACTTATTTATTAATTCACCAGTAAAATAAAGATGTTTTTGATTTTTCGGTTGTTTTTTTCCTACAATAACTGTGTAAATAAAAGTATTTGTCATATTTGAATGAGTAGTTGAACATTGAAGTGATGATTGAGTATCATTATAAGGAGCAAATTGGATGAGAAATGTAGGAGGATCATTTTCATTTTGAGCTAATACAAGAAAATGTTCATTCATTGTTATTTTAATACCATATGAATTAGAATCAATTCGATTTGGAATAAAACTACTTTGTATATCAATTATAAAGAATATATTTAAAAAATAAATGATAGTATAAAACATCTGAAACGATTTAAAATATTTTATTATAAATATCTATGACCTGTTAAACTTTCGTAACTATTAATTTTGAAAAGCTCAAAATCATTGCAAACATGGTATCAAATGATAAGATATTCGAAATATACTTACCAATATGTTAGGCAAATAAAGGATAACTTATACAATATTTTAATACAACATATTCAAAATAAATAAAAAGGTTAGGCTAGTTTTTTCTTTCTAAAGAACTAAACGTCCTATTAACACTTGCGTACATATTTAAATACACAAAATAAGAAGTTAAATCAGAAATAATCTCCTCATTATATACTCGTTCTTTTTCTAAGTGAAAAAAACGAAGATTGTCAAAGTTATATTCATATTAACAGCCAGGTAAATCCTATCGTTTCTATTCCACTTGTACAAATATACTTAAAAAACAACTTTCAGTGAATAATGAGCAAATTAGTACTTATAATTGCTTATTCATCCTTTCAAAAATCATTTCATATGTTAATTATTTCTACATTAAACTTTTGATGATTTGAACTGCAATATAATACAAATCGGAAATAAAGTAAAATACAAAATCTAACAAAAAGATGCTCAGATGAATACAGTCAATATTAGATTCAATAGAATTAAGCGAATCGATGAAATTCTATTTCAATCCAAATGATAGAATAAATAACACATCTAACGAACGAACTCTATTTAATTAATTTACTAATAATTAGTATTTATCATTACAATCCAAATATTAAAATACTGTCCTTGGTAGAAACGATTAAATACAATAATCAAATCTTCGAACTCTGCTCATACAATAAATTTATTAATTTTTATTTTAAACAAAGGTGAATGAAAGAATAATAATAATAAAGTTTTTTAATTCTTTTTCAGCATGATGAATAGCAAGTTTGCAATCAAAACTATAATACATGGAAAAAATAGACTGGTCGATATATTATTGATTACATATTAATATCGATCTTTTCTTTCGAATAAATTCAATCAAGATTAATAATAAATAAAGCTTAATATTGTTGATAGTTCTACTAATATGAATCACACTAGTGTAAGATACTAGAAATTAAATGATTAATAGTCAGACCACAGCATTATGAAATAAAATTTTTTTTGTTAAATTTGTTTCTTGTCTATAATTATGATGTATATAATTTTATGACAAAAAAGTATTTGATTGGTTGAAAAGATGAAATGATCAGTAAAATAATACGTAAAATACCAGTTCAAAGAATGAATGATCAGTATTTAGATTAACAGTAGATAATATGAAAGTGATCAGTTGTTAAATAAAGTACCAGTAATAACGTCAGATTTTTAGCAGTAAAAAAGGTAATTTAGATAAGTAAGAAATGAAAATTTGATCAGTTAATAAGATGAAGTTACTGACAGAAAAACTAATTACTCATGAAGTATAACACAGAATAAAGAAAAAAGAAATTAGAGTTAAATTATTGCACCAGTAATGCAAGTTTGACTTTTCCGCTGATTCTTAAGTATAACTGAGTGTTAAAATATTTTATTTACTGATTATAGAACTAACTAAAGAGTGTTTTTATTTATTAACTGATCATCTGATTAGTTCACTGATCATTTCATCTATTTTACTGATCGATTAAATCCATGCCTATGTTTTTCTAAATAATATTCCTAAGC